TTTCTGCTTACATGGTCGTTTCATTGCTTTCGAGATCAACTTCTTTTCGATATATACAACTTGTATACACATTATTCAAAATAGATATTTACAAGAAAGAAATGTTACATTTCAAGAAATTTTATATTTTAAGCGTAGCTTTAATTTGAATGTAAGAAGAGAAAAAAAAAGAGAGATGACAGTTTCTATAATACACGATATTTTTAATCCTTGGTGACGTTGTGAATAGCTTCAGCAAGATACTTGACGTTAGATGAAGAGATACCTGCCATAGAGATTCTACCATCTTGTGTCAAGTAAACGTGCCAGTCAGACTTGATCTTGTTGACTTGCTCGGGTGTCAAACCAGAATAACAAAACATACCGATTTGGTCAGTGATATGGTTCCATCTCTTCTTTGATCCAAAGTCCTTTTCAAGGTGGCCTCTAAGCTTTTCTCTCATGGTGATGATACGATCAGCCATCAATTTGACTTCACCGAGCCATTCTTGCTTCAATTCGGGAGTGTTCAAGACGGTGCTGACGATGTGTGCACCGTGAATAGGTGGGTTAGAATACATGGGACGGATGATGATCTTCAATTGAGACTCAACACGAGCCTTTTCTTCGGCATCAGCACAGACAATAGAGAATGAACCGACACGTTCACCATAGAGACCCATGTTCTTGGCAAAGGATTGAGCCAAAACGACTTGGTGACCTTCTTGGACGAACTTACGGAGAGCGTAGGCATCGCGAGTACAGTCTCCAGAGGCGAAACCTTGGTAGGCCATATCAAAGAAAGCAAAATGTTCACGTTCCTACATATTTCTTAGTATTTATGACATGAACGCGACCATCCTGTTATATATGTTACCTTGATGACTTTGGAAATTTGGTCCCATTGCTCTTGGGTAGGATCAACACCAGTAGGGTTGTGAGCACAGGCATGAAGAAGTACGATGGTGTTCTTGGGTGCTTTCTATAAGACAAAGTTAGTACCTTTTCTTTCTCTTTCTCACTTAAGAAAGTAACTTACATAAATATCTTCGAGCATGCCATCGATGTTGAGGCCGTTTGTCTGTTTATCAAAATAAGTATACTTCTCCAAAGAAAGACCAGCATTCTTCATGATTGGAATATGGTTACCCCAGGTAGGGTTGGGAACAATAATATTTTTGGCGTGGGGGTACCAATGGTTCAAGAACTCAGCACCAATACGAAGGGCACCAGTACCAGAAATAGATTGACTAATAACGAGCTACACAAAAAGTTTAATATCATCATCCCTCCCTCTTCTAAACATACTCTGTTATCCTTGATCACAGAACTATCCTCTCCATAAGCAAGTTCACCAGCAACCTTGGTGAAGGCAGGTACACCAGTGATACCAGCATATTCCTTGTCCAGACCCTTTTCCATAATCAACTTTTCAGCCTGAACTCACATGAAAAAAAAAGATAAATATTCCAAAAAAGGCAGTGGGAAAAAAAGAGTTTTTTTTTATTACCTTTTTGACAGCATTCAAGACATAGGGTTTACCATTATCATCACGGTAAGCACCAACACCCAAATTCATCTTGTTGGGAGATTGATCTTTCTTGTAGGCTTCAGTAACGCCCAAGATTGCATCGGGTGGACCTACAGAAAAACAAGAGTTTAATATATATTTTGTTGTGTGATTATTCATTACCTTGAGGAACAGCATTCCAAGTGGAAACGAAGGCACGAGATGCCATAAACTTGGGTTTGACCGAAGCACGAGTGATGGAGGAGAGCATGGCTTGAGAGAATAAAGAAGAAAAAACGGGAGAAAAAAGAAAGAAGAAAGGAAAAAGACAAGAAAGAGTTTCTATTACCAAAAAGGTTACACAACGTTTGAATTCAGTTACGTTTGTTTCCGAACTCAAACGGTGAGAAAAAAAAAAACAAGGTCCCAGCCAACAACGCGTCTGACTGGGATGAATGAATTCCTTCTCTCAAAGTACCCCTTGCTCATTCTTTTGATTTACTCGACAAAAAACAAAGACTCTCGACTAGCTTATAAAAGATAATGAAAAAGTCATTTGGAGTCATTTCTTTTGAATTTATAAGGTGATTTGCGGAGTCCATCTTTGTTGAATCATTTTTTGATGGGTCAAAGTCATCTATCATCAATATAATTCATCTTTAATGCAAAGAAAAAAAAACAAGCTCAATCATAGTAAGGAGATTGTAATGATTTGATTTAGTTTTTATTTTTTTACTGAAAGTAGACTTCTATACTATACATTTGTAGTTCATATATCAATTATTTACTGTCCCAACTCAGGGGCTCGTTGGGTAGTGCTCTCAGTGAGCAGTTCTTTAGGCAAAGTGATGCCCTGATCAGCCAAGTCCACAGATGTCTTCTTCTGACTCACAGGAGAACTTTGAGAGAAATCCTTGGGAGAACCATCTTGTTGAAGAGTGCTGCCTTCATCGCTTTCGTACCTGGTTGACGGCTCACTCTTTTGACGAAGAGGTTGTTGACGACGACGACGTAGGAACATAAATGCGAGTAATCCGAGAAGACAAGCTGCTAGGACAGGAAGGACAACAGCGATGGCAATAGCCCATGTTGGTAATGCATTAGGAGCATGAGCTGTAGTTGGGTTAGATGAACTAGTTGGTGTTTCATAATAGGGTCCATTGGGACTGTACATGGCTTGATAGGCCAAGATGCCCTGGTAGCATGCATTGTAATCCAGAGCAACCTCTGTTTGTGACCAATCAAGTCGCTGATCTGCAAAAGAATCATTTTTTGCAGGCCCACCCACGAGTGCTAATTAATACTGTTATTATCAAGGGGGAATAAACAAATAGTATGCATATTTTTTTTTACCTCCGTAAATAGTATGAGAATGACTTAGGTCAGTTGGACTTGCGATGGCGTCCGCGAGCGAATTAAATCCTGCAGCAAGGGCCGAGTGAGGATACTTGGGTGAATTGGGTCGCTCTCCAACGATATAGTTTTGGTTGATCGGGTTCATGCCAAACATGTAGTTGAGTTGACGAATAGCAAGATCTATTATAAAGAAAGTGAGTGAGCGTGGCTTTTTTTAATTGGGTCAGTTTGTTACCTTCATATCGCTTGATTTTTGCAGAAATGGCCTCTTGATCCGTAGGAGAAATAGCAAGTAACGGACGGAGAACTTGACGAGAATAAGATAATAAAAGATAGCTTGTACTCATAGCATTTGCGTTACTATTATCATCACTATATATTATGTTTGGTAATCAAGCATGAAGTATAATAATAAGAGATAATACCTATAAAAGTCCCAAAAAAGCAATCCACCCTTGGTTTGGTTGACCGATGTACCACTGACGATACCATCCAAGTAATTCTCCGCAACCTTTCTGCTTTGAATGGATTTTTGTGGGTCCGAAGTATTAAAGAGCGACTCTGCCAACAGTATATAGACAGCTCCGTACTATTCAAAAGAGGCGGTGCATAAGAATGATAAAGCCACAAGATGCAATAGCCCTTACCTTGTTGTCCCATCCCAGGGGTTCCGTATGGTTTGTTCTCCAATCGGGCAGCTGATAATATGATAACGCGTCATTCAAGTAGGTCTCGTTCTTGGTAGCCTTGTACAAAGCAATGGCGGATAGAATCAAGTCATCAAGATAATCTAAAGTTTTACATGAGCCCTGATCTCGTTGTTTTTATTTTGTTTACACATACCGGTGCTTGCGTAAATATCCTTGACTGTAGGAACAGAAAACTGATATCTAGAAAAGTTGGTAGTTTTGGAACAGCTATAGAGCTGGACACCATGCGACAATAACAGATCCGCATATGCAGCATCTTTCTGATCACCTGTTACAGATGCAAACATACGAAACAAGGAAGATGCAGTCGCAAAAGCAGCGGCTACATATAAAGATGTATTAGAAATAGGAAGAAGTATTTAGATATACACATTTACCTGTCATGGATGCTACATCCGTACCAAAGTATGTCTCGTTGATTTGGTAACTTGGTCTCGGCAATGGAATATTTGTATCCGGGCCTATGGAAATAATGATACGAAAAAGGGAAAATTGTTATTTTAACTCTTTGTTATTTTTACATCTAGTCCACATACCGAAGTAATTATTATCCAGACGAACATCTCCTATCTGTTTAAATTGTCTTAAAGTTCCGTACAGTGTTATAATATGTTATGACTTACTTGGACGTAAAGCGTACATCTGCTTGGATGTGCCTTGATCATCCAATCCGTTGCCTAACAATGAACAAAATTAGCCGTTGTCATTATGTGATAATAAAGAATATCGTCTTTACCCATTTAACCTGCTCCCGCAAGTAGCTTGCTTGGTTTGCCAATTCGTATCCTTTGTAGTAATCAATACCTAAGCCCCACCAGATGATCAGTAACGTAAAACACAAAAACAGAAAAGAGGTTACCTCCCCAGCTTAGCATAAAAGCTGTGTAACTTAGAGGAAATGTAAACTGCAGAGATATAAGGTTAGATATACAGTTTTTTCATACGCTCTCTATTTATAACCTTCAAGTAGTCTCCGGCATCATAATATCCCTAAAGAATGGAGTGTTTAGTGGTTATTTCCTAATTCCTAATGGCAATAGCCCGATAAACTTACACCAGTCAAGTCCAATTGAACGTCAGAACCATCTGTCAAAGCAGAGTCGTGTCGCCTAAGATGAGAAAAATAAGCATTGTGGCAAGAAGAGAAAATAAAAGAAGTATGAAGTCTTACCAAGATACACGATTGTTACTAGGCAATTTTCCTGATCTCTGTGCTTCGTAGAATAAGATCGAATGGCTTAATAGCCGAGCATACTCTAAGTTTGCAGATTGAACAATCGTCAAATTGTTGATCGAAATGGAAGAAACGGCGGTTGCCATAAGGTGTAATGCCATCAAGAAAAGAAGCAGCATCTTTTTTTGTTATTTCAAAAAGATAAAAAGAAGAGGAACAAAAGGTCAAATGGAAATCGAATATATATTAAATGTACCTTGTATTTATTTATAATGCGACCTTCTTTTTATGTAACCGTTATTTCTATATTTATAAATCGTGGTACCTCTCTCTCTCTCTACACACAATATGCTTAGCAAGCACAGCCTGTTTTGTTTTTCCTTTAATGGACAAAAAACAAGATTGTTCATTGTTTTTCTGTAAACAGGTATTCCTTTGTAAACAATAAGTTCTGCATTCCTGACGATAGCATGTCGAATAACCCATCAATAGGAATAAAGACGACAAGAGTTTATACTTGTTGTACGCGTGTTCTTGACTACCTTACAGACATAACAGCCCCAAGGCATACCTCTGGCACTAACAGACACGTCCTATGTAATGATGTCTGTTATGACAAAATAAGCTTATACCTGTCATGGCCTAGTCAATAGTCCGTTATTTGATTAAGCTTGTGTCTCATTGCTTAAGTATATATGTCCGGAATATTTTATTTTCCTCCCCTCCTCCCCTCCGTAAGCCTTGGAATTGATCTTGATACAATGCCGCCTTAACAGTTTTTCCAGCTTAGGTTTTGTTATCACCTAAAATATAAGCTTACTGATAAACATACACTCTCTTTACAGCGTGCTACTATCCTTGTCTATGATTGGATCATATGAAATATAAACGTACGAGCATTGATAATAGTAGACATGGTGTATTACATAATATATTTAACAGCATTATAGACAGTGCCTTATTTAACAAGGGAGAATCATCGGAAATATATAAGAGAATAGCATGATTTTATTCAAAGGACAGTTCTCAGAGCACCACATGAAAATTTCAAGCGTGCGTATAGCGAAATAATAAGTGTGGTCCTGAACAGAATACTATGCATAAAGATCGAAACTGATAATCTATTTTTACAAAACACATGCCAGTTTGTACGCTTTGGTTGAATGGACGTTCGATGCTACTGAAAATGATTGAGGAGTGACAAAAGCCATGACTAGTGCAATAAAGAAAAGATTTTATATCTTGTCTCAACCATCCTGTTTCAACCTCTGGTGGCCCAGCGAGGCTCCATGGGTCACCAGTTTATTTTAAGATTCAATGAATGTATAAACTCTTCCACCTTTACTAAACATAGATTGATAGAATACAAAGAGACATCCTCAAGAATAATGTCTACAACGTTAACCTGTTTGCTAAACAGAGCCATTTATTATTTATTGAAACAAGAAAACAGTAAAGACTGCATTAACATGACTTTATTTATAAGTTCATCTTGGCGATTAAATATCAACATGAACATCACCATTGTCTGGAGTAGCAGCGTGTTCAGTGCTTTCATCTTCTATTTGAATATCTTCTTTTTGTCTGCGAGCAAACCTTGGTGCTGCAACATTAGCACTTGCTTTTTTGGGGTTATCGTCTTCATCAGCTTCATCTTCCTCGGCTTCTTCTTCATCTGGTTCTTCCTGGCGGCGCGATAAGGATTGAGATTCAGATTCGTCGACTTCATCTTCATCAGGCTCGTCTTCTTCTTCTTCCTCTTCATCTTCCTCTTCCTCATCAGCTTCTGAACGACGAGCATAACGACGACGAATAGCATTAGCATATATCTTGGCAATTCGAAGATCACGACGTTCATGTTTAATGACCGCGTCACCAGAACCAGCAACTCGGACATCATTCACAGTAGGATCAGCCAGAACAGAGGCAGCGACAGCAGCGATTAAACCAAGGCCAAGGTATTTGATTTGCATTTTGAATTGTTTGGATTGAAAAATAAAATGACTATCTTTTATATATTTTTAGATAGCCTACATCTTTTTGTGCTTAGGGCTTTCCCCGTGGGTTCCCCTTCTTTTTACCTTTATCCCTTAATATTAAAGCCATACTTTTCCTTGGGCTATTATAGCCATTCTCTCCTGCATAAATCTTTGAGAATATTCCATTAAAGGTTTACTTGCCATGATTAGCTTGTAAAATCATCTTAACTATACTATCTTTAATAATAACCAGCTGTTCAAAAGAAGATTCGAATGATTGACACCTATTCAAGGCAAAGAGGGATTAACGTAAACATTTAGTTTACTGCAGATTAATTGTGTTGGGAATAAGTCGTAGCTATTGATGAACCATGCCGCTTTGATTGTTCAGACAGGACAATCAATTTAACTTCTCCGTCTTGCTTGTGTACAGCATAAATTTGTCATTTCTCCCTCCCCTTTTTTTTTGAACATGTTCCTATTGTATGACAAAGAGCAGATCCATGGCGGACGACAATCAATAGAAGCTTGGAACTAACTCTTTATTTGTCAGGCCTCCCGAATACACTGTGCTGCTAGGATATGAGCACTCAGATCATCTACGGTACCTCCTGTCAAATCCTATTTGCTATCAAAAGGGAGAAGAGGGGGTGATATGGTTAAAGTTTATTAATGCATAGGAAGTACAGAGTTTTTTAAAGATCTAAATAGCTTTTGGATTTCAAAGAGACCAAATCTAGCTGTAAAATAATAAAGATGTCAGCCTTTAAGTCTATTTTCTAAAATGTTGAACTTACGTATTGGCACTTGCATAGCTATTGTAGAGCGAACAGTGTCTTCAACTTGAAATATAGCGTCAGTTTCGAAATAAACCAGGATTAGTAGTGGCATTTCGGATATATTGCATTGAAGCAATCGACACAGTGCTTCCGATAAGTTTTTCTTTGAGATGTTAAAGTCAATTCAATCAATACCACCCCCCTTTCCTTACCTGTTTCTTAAGAAACTGATCAGCAGTTATAAGTATAAGGCACAATATAAGCTGTACTAGTCTAATGATGCAATTTAGTAGTTCATCCCATAGGTCAATATGTTTTACCTTTCTGACTCAGTTTGATTTAGCAAGTTTATAAACATATCCACCTCTTGGTCATTCAGCTTTACACCAAAGTATCCGGTAATACCTGCAAGCGCGCGAATAGCAGATGCCACTCTTGCATAATCGTCATTTGCCTACAACATAACTTGTTATTTTTCATGCATTTACAATTCTACGCAAGAGCTCACATAAGATATTTCAATTTCTGAGATGATGCGATTTTTCATTGTTAGAAAATACTGACGACTAGCAGCCGATTGAGCCAAGAACCAAGATGCCACTTGCTGAAAGATGCTGTTGAAAAAGTTTATCTTAAGCGCATAAGTAAAGCTATAATTCATGCTCTCTCTCTCTTTCCGTATACCTCGTCTTGACAGTAAACAGCTGTAATCCTAGTGATAACATCTGGCAATATTCTCATCTCCATCAACTCTAGTCTTATTGACCATGCATACTCAGGGTTAGCTTCGACAAGTGCGCTCATCATTTCACTATTAGATGATTATAATAATAGTACCATTCTTTTGATCCCCTTCTCTCTACATCCCCTTTTACCTTAATTGCAGCATAAATTTACTATTTAAACGATAGGCACAAGATAAAGCATAATGTACTGTCTACGATCAAGTCATGTTAGTTTGCTGATAAAAGTGGTGTAGCGTTGATTTACATTTTCTTTAGAAACATCACTGCTTTTACTCAGTGTCTTGATAAGAATGGCCCGTGTAGGCAGATAGACTAAACCTTCGACCAGATACTATAAATAAAATAATGTGAATCAACTATTGGCCTATTCAATAGAACTTACTCTTGTAACGCCTATGCTGGTTTCTTGATATTCAACGTCTTGAAACAGTTCAACCGTTTCCACTATTGATTTACTATGTTCAGTTATAAACGGCTCACTGTTTAATAATTTGATAAAACTGCGAATTGCTACATTTGTCCTTTCTGTTGTTTCGTTTTGCACTTGATATACAATAAAAAATAGTTCACATAATAGCTCGCTAATAAGTTATGCGAATGAGATTGTCGACATCAACAGAGATCTATAAAAAAGAGAGAACTTACAATTTCCAATTGGGTTGTCCAACAGTCTTGAATTGTACCTAATTATAGTTTATAACTATTTGTCCCCCTTTTTCTTGGCTTTGTATATATACGCTCTCTTACAAGTGCTTCTTCTAAGCCTATCTTTGTTGACGTCTTTCTAAACTCTAAATATCTATTGACAGGTTCCGTATTCATATTTGAAAGAAAATAGGAAAGGGCGGAGATTTGGACGGCATTCATCCTCCGTTCAATTCATGCTGCCAGTTGTTTAAAAATCTAAAGTAAACAGCCCTAATAGGACGTATTGTAAATGTCTTTATTTACCCTCTTGGATACGATTCAATTATATGATGCAGTCTACTTTGATTTTTCAGGGCTTTCTTAACTAAATCAGATTGTCAGCTATTCTTTCTTAACCTTAATCAAAGCCACAAACCATTGGCAAACCAAAGTTATATAAGTGAACATGGAGCTAAAGTACTCAATGATGATATTTATTAAGCCATAGTCTCCTTCTTGTTAAGCCCATTATACTTATCAAGTTCACTGAGCTTATCATTAGGTTATTTTCAAATGCATAAGCTCCATTTATTATCATTTGACCATATAACTTTCAGAATAACTGAATCAGAGCTAGACTATGTCTTCTATTTCATCTTTGATAGATTCCTTAAATTGTAAGAAAAAAAATACATTAAAAAGTTTAGGTTTAATAAAGGAACCAAAATGACGGCCAATTTTTATTAAAGGATCCATTTCCTCCTCCTTTTTTTTTTTTTTTTCTTTTTCTCTCTTTCTTTTTTTACTTTCAAAGCTTTCAGTTAGGAAAAGTAGGTTGTCAGGAATTCATACATCTTTTTATTCTCTAACCTTTTTTCATGTAAAGCTGTAGATCAACTTATCAAGGCTTGCCTCTTTCTCTTTCTTATCTCCTTGACATGGAAATATATAACGTGATGCCTAAGAAAAATCATCCAAACCAATGCTTCTTGAGTGTTGAAACAAACAATGCCTGTCATGAAAATACAAATCGTCTATTTCAATATACATCGCTTACTACAAACAACATTGTATCTTTAGATGATGAATATAATAGTGAAGAAAATGACACTGAGCGTAAAGGTTCGTACATCGATAGTAATGGAGTGTTTCATTGCGATGAGGACTTGGAAGAAGAAGAATATCAGCAAGCGCCCAAATCAAAAGAAGGACTATATCAGAAAGGTCTTGGTTTACCTCCTCTCAAAAGTTTTCTAAAAAGCGCGATTGAAAGTAAAAATACACGTTCTCAAGACAAAAATGACGCGTCTATTTATGCACAGCTGACCTCGCCACTTAATATGGCTACAAGAAAGCTACATAATGAATACCCCATTTCCTGCTTTGAAGACAATTGCAGTGAGCACAAGTTGAGTAGTTCAGCTCCTTCAGGGTATGATCACCTTGATGAGCAGCATGAGCTCCAAATGCTTGAGGTACAAAAGCATTTTCAACTAAGTACAAGCGCTCCTGCTTCACAAATGGCGAATGAAGATATCATAGATGAAGAGTACGAATCTATCTCTGACATGAACGATTTCTGTAACGACGAACCGGTGGCCACATCCAATGAAAGTCAAACCTGCTCAACTACTATTCAAGCTCAACAAACAGTGCAAAGCGATGAGAATGAATATGACTATCACGAAACTACTGCCGTTGAAAATGATGATAACAAAGAGCTGATGGATGACGACAACTTATCATGGAAAGAACTCGCGGACAAGTGCTATGGACGGACAGACGATAAGCTCTCGCTTCCTATAGTTGATCCTAATAATCCATTTTTAGAAGTCTATTTTGAGAGAATGCGTCAAAGAGAATATCCTTTTAGTTCAGATGGGCCGCCTTATATATACATCAGCCCTTATTACATGCCTTACCAAAACTGCTATACTGTGATGAGCACAGACTACACACCAACGGAGCAGCTACGTAATCACGGGAGTTTTATCATGGAAGTAACAAATATTACTGGAGCAGTGAGATTAAAACACCTTTACGAACTCTTCTTTGATCCCAGTGTTCTCGTAATCAAACATTAAAACAGGTTACTGTGTATTTGCTTACCAAGTCTACTATAGTATATACAGTATCACCGCGATAACTACACTGCGTTTGTCTGCTATCGATCCTTGGACAGCCTAACGACAGCTGTCGGTCAGTACTATGGACGAAGTAAGCAGAATAAAGGCAATACTATTATATTAAACTAATCTTGTAAAGTATTTATGGGAAAAAAAACTACACTGTTGCGCACATATGGTAATGTATATATTCACATAAACAATATGTAACTAACCTATTAGAAATAGAGAGAAAACTTTACCGCCTGGACTAGCTTGGGCACACAAACCACTGAATGCACAATAGGACCTTCATTAAGTACAGGTTCATACGTTGACAATAGATTAGAAGCTGAAAAGAATAGTTCTAAAGCACATTCTGATAAACAGAAAAAATACCTCTCTGTCATCATTCATGATGAAAAGAGCCTTGCGACAAAGCAAGAGTGTACTCAGAATAAATCCGAAGGCAAGCGCAAAAATAGAAAGAGCAACAAGAAAGCATTGGCAAGTATCAAGGTGGATTGTTTTTGGCGTCCGTTTCAATCGAGTGAATACATCCTGGCAATGTCAAATACGACGGAAGACTTGATCTTTGCCAAAGCAACAGGATATTGGTCAGTTGATGATTTTCACGTGGATTTTATAAACACTCTATTTACGGTAAGCATCTAGCTAAATTAACCATGCAACTGACCTTATCTATTAGTCTTGTAAAAATGTATACTTGATATTCATTCCTCAGCAAGCAGACTATATCAGTGGCTTTGGTAAAATAACGTCAAAGGCGCAACCGATACACTCTATGGATTTGAAGAATACTCCATTTGCTGTCAAGAAATCTGAATTCCAAATTGTAAAGGAAGGCAGGAATTGGCGCAATATACTCAAGATTAGATGGATCAACAAGTAATGAGTATTTTTTGTAGCTTTCTCTTATTTAGTATTAACTTTTAAAAAACATAGATCAAAGTTACCATTAGCTATTGTAGGGGATTTAGAGATCAGAATAAGCGACTCTCAAAAAGTAAGCATCAAGGCGTGTCCAGATATCACAGCTCTAGACAATTTAGTGGGAAAAACTATTGTAAGGGCCTTCTCAGAATAAGCTTTTTATAATCAATAAAAGCCATTCTTTGGTTCCGATATCATACGGTTTCTTTTAAGCTTCCGACATTCGTGCAGCATACTAGACCATGTAACTTTTGTGATAGAGCTTCGACAAATTGCTTATATTGTACAATGGCTCAAAGAAGGACATCATGTCCATTTTGTATAAAGATCCCCTCGTCTGCCCTTTCTGTGATCCAGCAATGCAAACAAACCACGAGTATGTACAACAGAAAGGGCGGACCAGTGTGACATACACTTTGTGGTACTGCAATATAATTCGCTATTGGCAGCTGGACCCTGTGAAATTGATAAAAGAGAAGAAGGAAAGAAGGGATAATGAACAGCACTGTGAAATGATACCAAACTCAAAAACCAGATGAGCCTTCTCCTATATATGTGTATACATATACGCATACATACCAAGGCTCTTGCTATGTAGCTAAAGCGCAGTAACCTGCCAAGTTATCTTTATTATTGTGCTTCGCTTACCATCTACCATTTGAAGATCCGATTAAGCTTAATTGTGTTTTTTATATTTTTCTTTCTTTTGCTCTCTTTTGTTTCCTGTAAATTCGTATTTATTCTATAATGGAGCGAGCAACTAGGCTGGAAGATCGAGAAGCGTGGAAACAAGGAGAAGAACTCGAAGAGATTTCATTTATTTTTAAGACGTACAAGATACGATTCTTTGGATTAACAATGATCGCCCTAGCCAACATTGCCTCGTCTTTAAATTGGCTTGCAGTTGCTCCCGTACCAGATTACTCTAATGCTTACTTTAACAACGCTGGATTAACGGCCATCAATTGGTTTTCAAATATCTTTATGCTTACTTATATTGTGGCTGGACCAATCTCGAGCTGGGCCTATGATCATTGGAGTATCAAGACAGGCGTATGATGATTATTCTGTATATATCTTATGCAAATGTCCATTTACATTCATTTATAGATTATCATTGGTTGCGTTCTTCAAGTTATTGGCGCTTGGGTTCGATATTTCTCAAACTTTGTACATGATTCCACTGGGAAACTCGCACTAGCCATGATTGGACAAGTAAACCTTTCCCATGAAAGGTTAAAAAACAGTAACTAAAATTTTTGTTCCATTTTAGGTGATCTGTGCCTTCGGTCAACCCTTCATTCTGAACGTTTGTACACCTGTAAGCTCATGAAATCAATTCGAAATAACCAAAAAGAAAAGAGGAAGGACTAACACCTTTATACAGTACGCCGCTCTTTGGTTTAGTGCTAAAAGTAGAGGAACAGCTACTATGGTTGGCGGTATAGGTAAGTCCTGGCTTCCCCCTTCATATAAGCAACAGTTTTCTTACACTCATTATAAAGCCAATGCTATTGGTATGGCCATAGCTGATGTTATCATTCCTGCTATCGTTACTGATGCTGATCAAGTACAACTCGGGGTATGATAAAAATAGGGCTATAATAACTCTTAATTAACAGCCAAGCAGTTTTTAATTATAGCATGTATCACAACTGGTTTTATGATTCCTGTGTTCTTTATTCCTAAAAAACCCAAGACACCTCCTTCCTACAGCGCATCTTCCAAAAACAAGTTTGCTCTTACCTTTTGGCAGTCGATCTATGAACTTATTACAAACTACAACTTTGTCATCGTTTTTATCGCATTCGGTGTGCTTTGCGGCATGGCGTCAACATTTACCTCTATCTTGACCCAGATTGTCGCACCTTATAAAATTTCTGTGGACAATGCAGGTTATCTTGGAGCTGCTTTCATCGTAGCTGGTCTTGTAGGTGCAGCTCTCACGGGTATATTCATTGATAAAACTGGACAGCACAAGATTGTCATCAAGATTTATGTGCCTATCATTGGTGCACTATATCTTGCATTTTACTTTATTGGTAAAGCTTTGGCTTTCAGAATATTAGATGAACAGCTTTTCTAATTATCTCTCCATAGTTCAAAAGGGTGACTTTGGCGCACTCGTGGCCATTTGCGTTCTCATGGGCTTCTTTACTTTCTCCCTCTTACCTGTAGCACTGGAACTTAGTGTTGAGTCATCATACCCTATCAGTGAATCGATTTCCAGCTCAATGTTATGGATGTGCTCTCAAGTTTTGGGTCTTGTCTTTTTGGCTGTCATTGATGCTCTACGTAATCCTGATGGAACTTACACAAGAGGGCTTATCTTTGTTGTATGCGTCATATTCCCTGTTTCCATCCTTACTACCATTTATAATAGTCCCAACAAACGACTGGAGTTTGAAGAACGTAACGCTGGAAAACAGTAAACGGCTAGTCGTCTAATACCCTCTAAAGAACGTATTATACCGTACTTTCAATAAATAAGCGATTTATTTACTCTGGTCTATTAGACCGAACAAAGGATATGATCACATAAGTTTAAAAAGCTACGTCTGTCTAATTCTTGAAAAAACTGTAAGCCTGAAGCCCGTTCGATTGCTCTAAGATCCATTTGAAATTGAGTCAATGGAACACCACGATTTATCGCTTGATTAGGAAGCACAAAAGCGCCAGATAGGTATTGCCCATCTTTCAATGCAAGCAATACTTTGAAAAAATGGGTAGGTACAGCAACACTTGGACCATTAGTGCCAATCATATCGTACGTCATTTCATACTTTAACTTGGTAGCTCCTACTATCTCTTCAGACATAATTCCCCTACCATCAAATCGAATTCCTGTTTCTCCCAAGGCATGCGTATTTCGGTTTACCCTAGGCAAGAACAATGGACCACTATAAACGTATACATCCGTAAAATTATGGGTAATATCTCTGCAAAACTTTTCCAGAAATGCCCAGTCTAATCAAATACCTGTTAGTGGGCGATATTAACACAGTCATTCTTCCTTACAATCTCTGTTGAAGCCTGGTCCTACTTGTGGCGCTATATTTGACATTAAGAATGTTTCGTCCATTTCGGTTTGAGTTGCAACAGCATCAGCAGCAGGTGCCATATGACCGCGATCATATCCACTTCCTGTGTAATCTTTAGGAAAAGCCCTAAACATATCAGGTAGCTCAGAGTCTTCTTTGAAACGCGACTTGTCTCTTGACACGCCGTTTCCCCTCTGGAGGTTTTCTACAGTTAGGTGCTCTCCGACCCAGTATGGAATACGATCGCGACGATTGTAAGATACGGTATAGGCATGCCTCTCAAATAAGTCATTGACGGGCCCTATACACTAGTTATGATGCTTGAACGTGCATGCATGTATTAAAGTCTTATCAAAACATTTACGTACCAGGATTTCCAAATTTTAAGACACCTTCACTATTCTGTCGCTTGTAGATAGGATTATGACGCACCTGAAAGAAGTTGTATGATAAGAAAACACCCAACACAACACCTAAAGTAGTCCACCAAAGCGGGTGTCTTTGTGTATTCATTATTATTTATCAATAAAAAAAAAAAAAAAAAAAAAAAAAAAAAAAAGAGAGAAAAGACTTTTTGCTCCTAAACGTTTTGTTTATGCCGTGGATTGAAAAGGCAGTTACACATAAAAAAATGGCCGTTCTTCCAAAAGCGGTTGTTTTCATATCTTTAAATATAAAGACGACCCTCGTTCACCATGTCAACACTCATTGGTATTGTCATTGTTACTACAAGCATACTTTTTATAATCTACAAGAGCAAAAGACAAAATAATAAAAATTCAACAAGCTCAATTCAAAAACAAGCATTAGAAACAGCAAACTTAAAATGTCAAGAAACACTATGGTGGATCCCTACATTAATAAAAGTATACCTTATTGGAGTCTTGGAAACGATATATATTGCAGTATATAAAAGAGGACTTTTTCCTAGTTCAATTACAAAAGAAGAAAACGAAGCAAAAGTATCTCAACTCATTGATCGCTATCTCGAAAGACATAAACTGGATAATCAGCAGCCTATAGCGGTTATTACGGGTGGTGATTCTGGTATTGGTTTAGAGATAACAAAAAGTTTAAACAGATGTGGATTTGAGCTGATCATTGGTTTGTATGATACAATCAGTCGAAGCAAATCATTAATTAATCTTGCTTTTCAGGAACAAGATCCAAGGAACTTTGCGAGAAGTTCATTGGCCCTTTTTCTACGCCAAAAGGTCATGTCAAGATATGCGAACTTGACCTTGCTGATTTTAGCTCTGTTCATTCCTTTGCCAACCAGGTTAAATATATACTCAATGGACGCAAAATTGACTTGTTAATCAGTAAGCATACGATATGTATACAGCCATGGTCATGCACATTTGTCTCATCCTGTCATTGTATGTAGATAATGCAGGTGTAATGAACGTACCCTATCTTAAAACAGTAGATGGTTTTGAATCACAATGTCAGATTGTTAGTAAAATACACATGTATTAACTATGTTTAACTAAAGAGCAATTTTATAGAATTACATGTCTCCTACATTGCTAAGTAAGCTGCTGCTTTCTCACATGAACACGAAATATGGTAGAATTCTTTTTGCATCAAGCTCCACTCTATATGCTGTGAACAAATTGGACACAAACACACCCTTGACATTATACAGCTTAAATGGGCTTGACCATTATGCCTATAGCAAATCATGTATTGCACATATTGCACAGTATCTCTCAACATCTGCACCTTCAGGGGTAAAGATTTACGGTAAGTCACGATTACTCTATTTTACAAGTTTTATACCTACATAGCGTTATAAAGCCTACCATCCTGGTACTGTCAGGACTAAACTATTTGATCATACCACTGTGTTCACATTAAGATTATTCTCAAAACTATTCGATTTTATTATGCTGACTCCAAAGGAAGGAAGCATAACACCTTTATACCTTTGCTTAGCAAATGTGGAGGATTTAGAAGCTGATGCGGATTCATGCTATTGGGCAGATCAAAGGCAACATCGAATAGCACCAACATACATCAATGGAAGCTTAAACAACACTCATAAACTATGGGAAGATACATTGTTAAAATGTAAATACAATGAAGAAATGTAATATACAAGCAGAGTCACTCTTTAAAACGAACCAATATGCCTTGTAGCGAGTGTTTTTGTATTTCTTCGTTAATTGTTTAAGTATATCTATCATACTTTTAAATATCTGCAATGTTTTTATTGATAAAGTTACTGTAAACTATTTTGTAAAGATTAATACACTGATAACACTCTTGTACGATATTTAACAGCTCGATTACTTGTGCATCTATTTTTGTCCTCTTCTAACTGCCGTCGTTTTGAATAGGTAAAGTTTACTCTGTAAAATGGCTATTTCTTATCTATAGCTCTTAATGGGCGATGCCACAATTTTTCATTTAATGAGCAAATAGTGTATATAATAGCGATTCTCAAAACTAAGTTTGTGGGTATTGCCATAGCAGAATGAATCAAAAGTACACAATAATTAACAATACGTTCAGCCTTCTTCTTCATTGTAATGTCCATTATAATTTTCAGGAATAATCAAATATGTATAAGGGCTTATTCATCCACTTCTATTGTCATTCCTCTTATTAAACATACAAGTTATCACAAAGTATTGGATAAACAACATGATTAAGACTGCATTTGAATGATCAGAAGTTTTGACAGTGATAAAGAAATACGTAAAATTTAGATACAGAGAAGTTGATGACTGAGTCCGAATAAACAGAATGACGCAATTTCTCTGCAAAACGTTTAAAAAAGCTATTACTCATTCATTTTTTCAGCAACTTGAACGTATTCAAAAGCATAAGCATCAACAAGTATGTCTCCAACGTATATAGAGCAAAAAATCTTCAAAAAACAAAGCTTTACAATCACGTGACTCTCACGTGAAATTAAAATGACATATAAGTTTTAAGGTTTAACCAATCAAAAAGCGGTTCCATGGTGTAATGGTTATCATATCGGTCTTTGAATCCGGTGATCCGAGTTCGATTCTCGGTGGGACCTTCCTTTTTTGAAATTTTGGGTAATGTCACGTGAATAGCGGAATATTAAATGCAGCAATAGTAATTGTCATTGTATTGTAGCAGCAACCGAAGGTTATTCTCAATGATTTTGAATCATGATCCAAAGACGAGGGTTCCCTGATTTTTGTCAGCTTCAATCTTTTTAAAAGAGATATACTGTAACCAAGAAAGTAACATTGTCACACTCGATCAAGCCGGCTATTTTCGTTCTAATGACAAAAGTCGCTATTTTGAAAATTGTCGGTCTTATGAAAACTTTCATGTTGTTTGAAAAGGTTGGAATCATACAATGAAATGGTATAAATATTTTTATCTGTAGTAGTCAAAAAAAAGAATTCAATTCATACTTTTATCTTATTATTCAAATAAACAGGCAACCTTTTGTTATAAAAGTTCCTGATCCCTTCTTTTTATTTTTTTTTTACTTATACTTCACAGTTTGATCAACTTTAAAAGATCTGGTGGTCACTTCAAGCACCTAAACTTATAAAATCTCAAGAAAACTTTCTATACTAACAATAACCCTTACAGCTCCTAAGGAGAATAACAATACTTTAATAAGAAGTGAATCAAATAATACAGTTTGATATACTGTGTGGGAGACAGCGCTTGTTGAGGTTATTATTAGAAGTGTCCTTCTGAATCTTCTGAATCCTCTTCATTACACTATAATATTGTTTATATAAATAACCCAAAGCTTTTGAAATAAAGAATCAATAATTTAACCAAATTAATCAATCTACAATATTATTCTCACTTTAATTATCTTATAAAATCTTCTCTTATAAATATACCTTTTAACTTTATTAACTTATTATATTTGATCTTGTATAATCAGGATCTGGTGGTCACTAACGCAACATATAATACTCAGTTTATTACTTTATTCTTTTTACTTTAAACCTATCTCAAAAACTTTAAACTCACCAAGGTCATTAAGCTAAAACAAGCAATTACAATAGTCCTTTTGAACAAGATAAAACTCCAATTGCTGAATCGATCCTTTTCTTTAAATTTGACTATTACCCTCTGAACCTGCTTTCGCGCTAAACGTTGATTATACATATTTCCTTTATATCACGGTACTTTTTCCCTTTTTAAAGCGAAAAACATTTAAAATTACATTAGCAATCAAGCCATTCCCTCAGAAAAAGAGCAGAGCAACGCAGATATAAAACTTTAGGAATATGTTAAAATATCATTTAAGCATTCATTGAAAAACAACCATACATCAAAGCTTCTTCAATATACATCATATTTTTATATAAGCCTCTATCAATTTTATTCCATCTTGATCTTTGTCTTTTTTTTTTTTCCTTTATCCTTAATCTTTCACTCTCTCATGACTTAATATCAAAATATATACCTTATCGCTTTACTCTTCTTAAACAAAATCTAATTTAAAACCTCTAAATCAATCATTAGTTTTTAAAAAAGATAGAAAGGAATAAACCTCATTATAATATAATTATTTTAAAGATACAAAAGAAACAGTACTTTTGTTTAAAATGTAATCATTCAATAAGCTATACGCTGCTAGAAACATAGCTTTTTCTTTACTTTTATTAAACTCTATCAGCTTATTCATCCTGATTCAGGGGTTTGTTATATTTTGTCTATTTGTTTTTATATGTACTGAAGAACTGGTGTAATAAGTTTTATTTAGTAAAAGAACATAATTGAAAAACATTGTTCCTTTTTTAAAGTTGCACTCTCTGTAATGATCAATCTCAAACAAAGGTCGACGAAAACAATGAAAGCAAATCAGTACAAGGATATCACTGGATCATGACTTATATAATACATAACATGAAAGGGGTAAACTCAATATGTGTTGCTTGAGACCATTCAAATATTATATTTGAAATAGCACCGACAAGTATCATGCTTTTTTGATACTTTGAGGCGGTGATATCATCTTGGTCTTAATTTTTATCTGCATTCATTGTTAACTTTTTCTAGAAAGGAATAACGGAAGAAGATTATTTTTTGATATTGTCAACATCTGTAATAAGCAGGCCATGATAATTATGATACATCAGAAGCAACCTGTATTCATTGTTCCTGATAAAAAAAATCGCTATTGGAGGCAGTAATATCTATACTTTTGATAAACTGCGAAAATGAACTAAAGAGCTGTACTCATCTATTACACATTATTATTAGATCTCATTGTACACAATGTACGTAACACTTCTTCAAAGAGCGCCGAATTACGCAAGCATACCTATTCCCACTCGTGAGTATCCTAGGAATAAAGAGGCACAACTATTGAGCCTTTTGACCACATATTTTACCAGGCGAACCTTAGCTTTTGGAGATCATTGCTTAGCAAAGAAAGAAGCAAAGAAAGATCTTGGCTCAATTTACGGTTAAACAAGCAGTTGATCATCATGGGCACACTTCTCATTGGTCACGCTAAGCTTAGCAAGAGGCACAACATATCTTTTTGCTACTCGCAAATCAACCGAGGTTAAACCATTTGATTTGTGAGACTGTGGCAAGGAGCGCCGCAGCCATAAACTGACCGACGATGTGGGAAAGGTTTGATAAAAATGGGCACTTAAAAGAGTTCAACAAAGAACGTCTATTCAAACTATGGTTTGCTTTTTCTTTAGTATGTCTTTTTCTTTTTGTGCAAGCAACATGTATAGGAGGCAATTATCTGTAGCATTAGCCTCTGTTTTATCATGAATTCTGTTGTGCATGCCATGTTTTGCATTTTGTTTCGGTTCTTGTGATGCATTATGATTCAGTTCATGTCATATGCATGTTTAGAGATAAATAGGGTCACGTTTCATTACTGCAATTATCTTTTGTAAAGTACTTTATCATAGCTTCATAAAAAACATGTGCATTATAAGCAACTTGGCTATTTAAGGGTTGTCGGTGACAAAAGTAAAGTGACATGGTTTATTTAAGAAAAATAGAATGTCTTAATCATCCTAGCTGTTTAATAGGAAAGTTCTTTTACCTTTTTCCTTTGCGGCGTTCAGATCAAATGAGGAAAAAGCGAGAATATTATCCTTGACAAAGGATGGTGTTGAATTATGTTATTGATTACTGAAAAGGAGGTTGAAGATGTGATTCGTACCACTCCTTTGATTGATTGTTTAAACTATGCATTTGTTGTTTTTGTTTACTTAGCTTAGAAAGACATGGAACATATTTTGTTTTTATTATATGCAAATGAAGTATGGCTTAGAAACTAAGAAAGGGGAGAGCATGTATCACATTTTCCACCAACAGTTGAATTGTGTAAACAGTGCAGAAACCAGCAGGGTGCTTCCCCCCCCTTTTTTTTTTCTTTCTTGGACTGCCCTTACTGTGCACAAGTGGATGTACAAATCGAGGACTGCCTGGAGGGAGCATATGCCAAGAAGGGCTTTTATTACTAAGCCGGCTAAAATAAGGATTGCCAAGTGGCAACGCAGCTCTATCTTCATTTGTTGCGCAGTAGAAATATATCTGTGCGCACTCAGATAGTTTAAATTGGGAATTTTTTTTAGTTGCGCAGAATATCCGATTGTAGTTTGTGTATTATTGTTGACAAAGCTGAGTTCAATGTTTCGGCTTAATTACCTTCCCTGTTTTCTTCTCCTCCTCAAGACAAACATTTAAGGTTAAAAAGAGATTGTATCTTTGTCATGGTAGCAAGTTGCTGAGCAATTTGCATGAGTATTGCCAATTCAACAATTATGAATTCTCTTGGCACATGTAAATGATAGCGCAGTCCTTTGCGTAGTCTCTGTAGTAATGAAGAAAAGCACAAATGCTTGTGTGTGTTGTTTATTGTATGAGGCATGTATGTTTATGTTACAATTGAAAGGTGATTACAAATTAAGAAGGACAGAGAAGGAAGAAAAGGAGATGAGGGTATTATATCAATTCAACCTGATCGTCTTGAGGGGTAGGAATACCATGTACAATTTGAGTTTTGTTAGATTTAACTTTTTTGAAGCAAGGTTCTTGTTCAAAGGAGCAAGGTCGTTTACAGGATGTGGTCGTGTTGGTTGGTGTGTTGGGTACAGCTTCTTTCAATTGAGATTCAAATTTTTGATAGAGTTCGGTAGATACAAATAGTCTATAGTCCAACATTTGAAGAATAGCTCTTTCTGCTTGACTGATCTCTTTGGCGGGTAATCTACTGATTTTAGCCCAACTGGCATTGGTGAATGTGTTGTCATACAAATACTTGTGGGCACAGATCAAAGCAGCCAAAAACATACGTCTACCACATTTGATGATGGAATCATGTTGAGCGAATCGGTCAATGTGGGGACGAATACGAAAAAGGTAAAAGATGGCTAGTTGAAGAGTTGAACGGGTAGCTCTTGATCTTTTCAATAAGTGTCTGACAAAGGCATGGGTATCGACAACTGACTGAGCAGCTATATTTTCCATAGGCCAAGATGAGCGTATGGTCAATGTGGTTATATCTAATGTTGTCTTAATAAAGATAATATATGTTGTATAGTAGTATTGAGCATTTACCGACAAGAGTATCTACATATAGTTTTTGGTATTGGTTGATATCTACAACAGGGGACTGATTTGGAGGAGTCATGCCAACTACATAACGATAATACTGATTTAAACATCCATTGCTGTTGTTGTTTTTTGAAAGAGGAGTATCGTTGTTGTTATAGTTTGACATGCACCAAATAGGAAAAAATGGAATTAAAACAAAAGAAAGAGATTTTTTTATTGAGTATTTATATCTACACGGAGTTGTAAAAATATTTCATTGTCAGTCTTTCCTTTTCTCTTTTTTTCTCACTTATAAAATTTCCTTAATCATGACTCACTGCGAATCTTGTATTAAAAAGGGTAACTGAGTCAAATTGATATATAAACTGATTATCAATATTTTTTATACTTGCAATAAATATTCTTTATATGCACATAAATAATCATATATTTGCTTACTTATATATGTATAGTCTGTATATGGATGTGGTCAGATATTATAAAAATGACATATAAAGTATATACACACATCTATGATATAAATAGAGATGAGATTCGTACCCTTTGACTGGTGTGCGAGAACAAAATGGTGTGATTGGGTTACATGCAATGTGATTGAAAGGGACTAACAGGACCAATAGGAATCGTAGACTTAAATAGCACCAATCAAATACTAGAGTCACAGACTGCGGTCATTGCACTCTAAAATAGAAACATTGGGTGCATGAATTTATAATGGACCCTTTTTTATTATGATTACGCTTGCTTCTGTGACTTGCATTTTAAAAGTTTCTTTCTCACTTTAAATGAATTTAGAATTATTAGGCATGTATAGATTAATAACAACAAGTAATCATGACTAAAACCGTGTAAAACAGATCCTTGGGAACAAGAATATCCTCAACTGATTGAAGAAACATTGGAAGATGGTTATGTGCTCAACTGTAAATTTAACAAAAGAGGCACTTTACTTGCTGCAGGTTGCCTAGACGGAAGATGCATCGTTTGGGACTTTGATACCAAGGGTGTATCACGTAACTTGATTGGACACGTTAAACCTGTGTCAAGTATAAGGTTAGCTTATGTAAAATACAACATGCCAGTGGATACTCATACATTTATCAGTTGGTCTCGCAACGGCAAATATTTATTATCAGCATCAAAGGATTGGACTTGCATCTATTGGGATCTGATCACTGGGAAAAAGAAGTTAAAGATAAGATTTGATACACCAGTCTTAATGGCTCATATGCATCCAAAGAACAAGTAATATCAACATACTGTTTAAATATATGCTTATTAATATGATTGATGTTAGTCATCGATTTGTTGCCGTATTATTTCAAGACAATCCGGTCATTGTAGATATTTTAGGTCAAGATATAGTAAAAACAGTATTACCCACAGAACCAGATACAAAAGAAGAAAAGTCGCCAAAGTAATGCTTAGTTTATATATATCTTGCTTTGGGCTAATCTTTTCTTCTTTAGAAATTCATTTCTTGTCACAGCTGTTTCGTGGAATAAAGCAGGCACACGAATATATGCAGGGACGTCAAAAGGATATTTAAATATAATCGACGTTGAATCAAACAAGATTACTTATAGTACAAGAATAACCAATACAACCATCAAAGGCATTCAGTGGAGTAGGAATGGACGGTATGGATGATGATGACACACAAGATCAGATTACTAATAGTTTATCGCCTTTGTATATAGTGAGTTACTCATCAATTCCAATGATCGATCAATACGATATTATCAAATAGAAGATGAAGATACAGGAATACCTGTGTTCAGAGAAAGATTTCAGGATCTGATCAATAGATCTCAATGGAGTCAAACGTGTTTTAATGCAGATAATGAATGTGTTATTGGTGGATCAGGACATAAAGCAGAACATAATATTTATATATGGGATAGACAAGAAGGAAATCTTATAAAAATATTGGAAGGGCCTAAAGAACCATTGGATGATTTAGCGGTAAGAGAAAGAAAAAAGAGAATAAATAGTATGGTACTGATCACCTTAAAGTCACATCCAGTCAAGCCTGTGATTGCATCTGTAAGCAGTTTTGGTAATATTTATATTTGGGCAACAAAACATCAAGAGAATTGGAGTGCATTCGCGCCCGATTTCATTGAACTTCAAGAAAATGTAGAATATGAAGAACAAGAAGATGAATTTGATGTGATGCCTGATGCTGAAAAAACAAAACAAAAACAAGTAGATGAGGATGTCATTGTTGACGTAACTACATGTGATACTATACAGGCATTTATTGAATCATCTGATGAAGAAGAGGAAGACGAAGTACTTTATTTACCCAATTTACCATTTGAAGATGATAACAATACCAGTCTAAGTAGTGATGAAGAATTTGCAAAAAGTTCTTTAAAGAAACACGCAGGCGAGTTATTAAAGAAAAAGAAAAGACTTGAATCGGATGAAAACACAAGGCCAAAGAAGTCTATAAAAAAATAAAAAAAAAAAAATGTCTTTTTCGGTCATTCAAATCCTTTTTTTCTTTCTTTCTTCTTTCTCTTTTATATTTACCTTGTTCATGAGTTACCATTCGACCATTGCTGACTTTTCTTGGACATCAACTTATCAAGAGAAGCTGGACTTGGCTCAAAATAGGCTAAATCAATTTGAAATAGACAAGGATAAAGATATAATCAAGGCAGAAAAGGACTTTAATATAAAGCATACTCATTTGAACCATATCAAAGACTTGCTATTAGATATCAATACACATAAACTATGTAAACAAGCTATATCATCACTTGTACCCATTGAACTCATCTTTATTTGCAGGGTGTACTTGGTTTAACGATATACAGCTCATAAGTCAACCTATCACAAATGTTAATATAATTCATGCAAAGTAAACAAGAGACAAAATACATCTAATACAAAACACTCATCCTTTGTTTTAGTTCCTTGATATTCGCTGAAAAAGTCATCAAAAGAAAACAGTCTCTTTCTTATATCGCTACTTCTTTATCAAATGATGATTACTTTTTCGCTTTTAGCATTCAAACCTATCTCAATATGACACGTGTCACAGTTTACTACCAATGGCATACATTACTTGATACCATAAACATAATGCATCATATCATCCAATTAAATACACTTCCATACATTAGTTTATGCGATAATCTATACGTGAATTCTATTGTATATAGTGATCACCCTACCTGTCATCTGCACTATACCTTCACTCAACCACCACCTTATCTGTCTCCTCCTTTAAACATCAAACACAAATGGCATCACGCTGGCTCATGGAGCCAAGAGAGAAGCCTTTTTACTCACTTCCAACCTAGACCAAGTACTTCTTACCCTGACAGACGATCAGACAGTTCATTTCTTAATGATCTAGATGAAGAAAAGGAGAGAGATCAAGCTTCAATAAAGGAACTCAAGATTAAAATGCATGATGTGTACAAGATATCAATCTCATTGCTTGATCATGATGACAGTAGTGGTCTGTCAGATAAGTTTACCCAGCTCTGTCTCAAGTGTACACGAAGGGATGACACATATATCGTTCGACTACTACATCCACCAGAACTACTGAAATATCTTGCACAAGATGTCTCTGATCAAGGATTACGCATCAGTATCGTTATGACTCGGTCAGACGATGGTCAGTTTACTGTGAATGATAAAGAATGGCCATTACGAGATGAGCGTGATTCTAGTACGACAGATGAAGAGAGTGATCATGATTATAAAGAAGAAGATATATTTGTGGATGGAATGGAGGAATTGGATGAAACAAGTCCACTGGCTACTGGTGCACCTCCCTTGCTTGAGTTGCAACAGCCATCACGACCGACTGTTCAACATAAGGTTTCCTCTTCCAGCGTGCCACTGATGAAGGTGCCACAGCCAGCCGCTTCAAATTCAACACCAACCCATGCATATAAACAGTTTGAGAAACCATCAGAGGTGCCGCAAAAAAAAGTGGATGATGATGATAATGAGTAAGTTCTGACGATAGTGTTACCTGATTTAGAGTGTATGCTCATACCTCTTTTGTATAGCATCCAAGTGTCTGATACAAACGAATCTATTTCAGATAAGGAGATTTCTGTTATTACAGTCCCAGAAAGCGATCCACTTGCGCTACAGAGAGCTTATCAGCTATTTACTCAATTTATAAGATCGACCGAAACACCCACAACAGTAATTCAAGAACCTTGTCGAGATAATGGATATGTGACAGTCAAGAAGATTGATGTCCCTGACCATCCTATGGGCGCCTTTTTAGTCGAAACAATGTGGAAAGATTGCAGTCTATGGGATGTGAAGGCAGTGATTGAAAGCGTAGGTGCACGAAAGGTGTGGGACAACACATTTGAAAACAGTACGCTTCTACATGCTCTGACGCCGACCAGTGCCATATGGCATACAAAGATCCAAGGTACTTGGCCTGTAAGCCCTCGCGACTATATCTGTTTTCAAGGACAGTATGCATCTTCTTATATGGTGGATCTAGTCTCTACCTCCTGTGTAGGTGAATCATATCGTCATAAGCCTTTACCAAAGGAAATCTCAGGATACACTCGAGCTACAATGGATGTCATGGGTTGGCGATTGGAGTATGCGACCAAGGACACCGTGCTGATGAAGGGATTGATGATGACTCAGTTCTCGACCTGGGTCATCAACTACATCACCAGCCGTTACCTCGTGCAGTCTCTAGCCGCTGTACAGATGGCCAAGGACTATCTCGGTATGTATGGTGCACCTCCTAGTTTGGAAAACCTCATGAACGCTGTTCTGATGAATCTGAAGCATGATCATGAGCGCAAGACATGGCGGTGCGAGTACAGTCGACGTACAGAGAGTGACGATAAGGCTGCCAAAGTCATGGCGGGTGCTACAACTACATCGCTTATACGCATCGATAAACGGCGTTGGGCCCTTTCGACAGGCAACAAATATTCCACCATCATCGACCCACCTCCATCGCGTGTGTCTGCAATTGAGAGGATACATGATCCTTATGGTGTATGGCTCATTATAGAACATGATGAAGTCTTTATTATCCCCTTTCATGGAAAGATATTGGTCATCATCAAACCTGATGATGCTGCATCATCAATCAAGGAGCCGGTTCCTGATTGCCAGATCTCCGTAAATGGTGGACCCATTGTGGTTGAAAAGGAGCGTGCAATCCCTGAGCAGATTGAGAAGGAATTTCAGAAAGCTGTGTCTCAGGCGAGCAAGGACAAGAAGAAGTTCATATCCGAGGAACATGCTGTCAGTCGAGCCATTGATCAGCTATCGGTACCACCTCAAGAGCACACACATGCTGTGCTGGCATTTCTTAAGCGAGCGGATGAGCAGTTTGGATGGACCGCCGTCTCTGATAAGAATGGTATAAAAACAAGTAAGCGGTCTGGGGCGAAGCAGAAAAAGAAAGAGCCCGACTCGTTTCTTCAGGATACATTCACAATAGATGTTCCTGAGCCATTCATGATCTACAAGGCTTCAAAGGTTATCGAAAACTATTCTGCAGAGGAGGTTCTAGCTGTTGTGAGTGATATACAGAATGTTAGAAAGGCATATGACGATACTATCGAGGAGATTGATGTTTTGCGCCATTTGAGGCCAGGCTGTAGGGTCGTTCGTCAGACTTTGAAGGCGATATTTCCTTTCAAGTATGTATGCTTAATTGCCCTTATTGATAAAGTTATTTAATCTTTTTCATATAGGCCGAGAGAAATTTATACTTACTCATGTTTAGCTGAGATGCCATCTTCTGATACGCTTTCATCCGTTAAACGTATGGTGTACATGGAAAGTTCTATTCCTGGGTTTCCCATCGTCTCCACCAAGAAGCCACGAGGGAACTTGTTTATATCAGCCTGGATAATCGAAGCCGTGGACCCCTATACGACAGCAACCAATTATCCTATTCCATCCACACGGGTTACATATGTCGCAGCATTGGATCTAGGGAGCCTTGTGCCTTCATATATTAGTAATCTCGTGGCCAACAGCTGGTTTCCCAAAAAGATTCAGGCTGTTCTCTCCTACTTGAAGTCAAATGGACCACCGCCATTTATAACTGAACCACTGCCACTATTGGCGCAGTCTACAGAGTCTGCGGACATAAAGTGGGATGAGATATCATCTTTTTACGATAGAGATACGCATCGGTTTAAAGTGCGCTGCCGTCTGGAGATACGTCAGGAAGAGAGTACGGCTTCAAATAAAAGATCAACAAGCGTTTCAAGAAAAGGCTCGCTTGAAACTGTGGGTTCAGCTAGCAAAGCCGGCGCCGAGGAAGGCGAACTAGTGAAATTTGGAGACCAGCGTTTTCCAGCCGATGGTGGCATACGCCGCGGCTCATTTTCTTCAAATGCACCTAAAAAACGGATAATGTGCACAGAGAACAAGGACAAGTTGTCTCAATCTACAAGTGGAAGTAATACGGCAGCAACATCAACTACTATTACTGCGGCAAGGGATTTTACGTTTTTAAAAACAACAATAGGGCTACGTTCTTTCCCTAAAGGATACGAAATACAAACTCAATTATTTGATACAACCCAGGCGGAAAAACACAAGAACCTGACCGATAAATTAGTCATTCATGTCTCTGAACCAGCATTAACGCAGCTGACAGACAACAGCAATAACCACATCAAGCACTCTGTTCATCTCAAGACACATGGTCTATCTCCATCCACACTACCAGGCAAGTACGAATTTGAGTTTGACCTCTTGCCTATCCCTGAAGAGGATTCTGGTCATAAGGAGTCACGCCTTACTGTTTCACATGTCCTTGGAGAAGATGAGAGCAAAGATAGCAGCTCAGAGGCAAAATGGAACGGCAGAGTGATTGTAAACGGCGACCGAATTGAAATAGGAAAGGATGCTCAAATCAAAGTCTGTACAAGGGATGTGGAAAAGTCCGAAGAAAGTAAAAGCCACAACACTCTTCAATCGAAGCTACTGGATGATGACAAGAGGAAAGAGCAGAGTGAACAAGTGCCAAACAGTAGTTTGCAAGAAGGTACAAGCCGTAGTGTTGCTGTTACTCAGTACATGCCTGGTGGCGTAGTAGCTTCTGCATTAGGAAACGTATCCGCTGGTGTGAATGTAAGTGACAAGACACAGATAAGGAGAGAAAAAGCGTATACTAAGATTGTTCTTGATAGAACTTTAGTGCCCGTATGGTATTTCCATTTAGAACGATTTCCAATCCTTCTCTTCAAACTCATAATAACAAAGTGGGGTCATCTTCTTTACCAACAACAACAACAAAAGCAGCAGTAGGGGAAGAAGGAAATGCTGGAAATACCAAGGGCTATTCCGCAGTTGATGGAGAATACAACCCAGCCGTATCTACAGGTAACAACGTGAAACAGCCTGTGAATAACGAGTTATCGGCTCTTGTGCAGCATGACTCACGAGTAGCAGCTATGAGTATTAGAGATATCAGGCGTAATCAGTTGTATTTGTGTTTGATATATATTGGTTTTGCAGTTCTTTTTGCTTTACTGGGATTATTGTATTACGAAAGACCATATATATCAGGCATCAATGAAGAAAATGTGCGATTACTTTTACAAGTTCCATGGTTTAAAGGATGGAAAGTACAAATAGTTGCCGTAAAACAATAGATTTGTAAATAAACATTGTATATATACATATATTTTATTCTTAGATTTTTATTATGTAAAACAGCTGTGTCTTTATTCAGTAGTAATTTGTATCTCGATTTCTTCTCTTTGACGATCAGCACGAAGCTATTGAACACTATTTAGTTCTATGCCTTGTACCTTCTTGAACTTACTTGAGGATTGTTAACTAGTGTATACGCAAGGAACCAACGGTTTCGCGCTCTTCTAGATGATACTGTTTGCTCTTCTTTTACATCACTTGAGGTCTTCTTGATGCTGTCTTTTGTCGAGTTATTTTTCAAATTCTCTGATTTGATTAAATTATGAGAACTTTTGATGTGATATTCGCATAGCTTTCTTTTGTGATCTCCAAAGATAAAATATTTTGAAAGGGGGCTTTTTTGAAAAGAGCGTAGTATACAGTCAAGGATGCATTCAATAAAAGCCAAAGCAATTGGATTGTTGTACTCGTGATCAGCAAGAATCTATATTCGAAGCATATCAGTAACAAGCTTTTGTTAATCACCCTCCTTTTTATACCATGCCACTGTAAGCAGTAAAACCTAATGAAAAGAATAAGAGTGGAAATTTATCAGAAAAAGACTGTCTTTACCTGCATCTCCATTGCGAACACTCCAAGTTTCTGCATTCCTATCAACACGCAAACTATACATAGGATATCTCAAGGCAAGTTTTAAAGTTCGTAAAAAGTATGAGATTAATGCCTTGGTCATTGATGTAAGCATCATAAAGTACCAGTAGTGCAAGAATGGTGCTCTGTGATAAATCATAAATCGTGTACGGGATTCAATAAAGACCAAGTTAGTTACTCGTTTTTGCAAGAACTGTACAATGATAGCGACAAAGAAGCTAGCAAAATAAGCACCGTATCCAAGCTGCTTTAATAAAACCTCGCGTAGCACATCAAGTTGTATAAGCATTGTGATGAATGTTCCTATAAGAGATACCTCGAGCATGAGATATAAAGTTCCCGTGAACCCTATAAGCGTTTTGATAAGAGATATAATGTCAAAGAGCTTTAGTGAAGACAGACATACCGAATCCTATAAACACTCCTAAAAATCGAATAGCATCGTCTATGTCAATCCTAGACAAATTGCTTAGAATATCATCATCAAAAATAAATTAAATACCTGTTGTTTCTTTTCCCTTTAAAAAGAGAATAGTCTCCTTTTCTTATTTTAAGAATATCCTTTGTAAATCTTCTAAGGATACCTAAGGAAAATAAGACACAGACTGGCCTTATGTATTAGAATAAGAATAGTAACCATGGCAATTTTGGTGCACATTACATACGCCTCCTCCAAATGCCGCGATATATGTAACTATACGCATAAAGTAATATGTCTTGATTGCAAACGATAAAGGATCCTTTTCGTAATGAAGCTGGACTAAATAGGGGGACCACCGGCAGATATGTCTAGACACTACAGCTCCTGTGCCTATCATCTTGTTTAAAAGGAGTGGGATCTATAAAAAGTGATTCTGTCAATCTACTAGCCCCACCATGAATGACGCATTACCAGTTGAGCCAAACAGTAAATTAATAGGGTCAAGGACGCCTTGATAGCAAATGGTATTCTATAACAACCTTTTTCTTAATCCTATATTCAGATATCTTTTCAACTACTTTTACCGAACAAGCTCATCTATGCCAAATAGGTATCTTAGAAATTGCTTAAGCAGTTTCCGTAAGTTGATTGGCGTTGCTCGTATTTGGGGCCAGTCTATGGTTATAAAATCCCAGAGTCGTCCTAAAAAAGAATCATGATTTCGGGCCTAAAGAGAACGATGATTCAGAACCTTGCTGGCGCTTATAATTATAGCCATTACCTTTCTTTTCCTTTTTGTATGGGAATAAAGTAAGCGCTTCACATACTCTTCCTCTATATCTTGGACTTCAAGAAATGCTACACTGCATAGAACACAGGGTTTAAAGGTTAAGGACCGTGTTATAAAGTAGACAAAAACCGCAAAATAAGCACCGATGGTAGGGGTAATTGTGAGCAAGTTTACAACAAGAAATCCTTGACTTTGAGGGTATATGACTATATAGTTAGGTAGCTCTATAGATACTCTGAGAGTAAACAGCGCTAATATAGTATATGCGCCTATATAATGGTTCTGTTCTTTTTAGCGTACAGTGAAGGATACTTTATGTCTTGTTTACCCATAATATTTGCCACTCGAGACCTATAGCTTGCATGGTAACAAATAAAAACCTACATCAGATGTAAGTAAAGTGCTTTAATCATGGCGATTGTATGCATTCATTACAGGGTAAAAGTAAACGGCAAGCAAGAAAAAGGACAAAAAGATCTCTTGATTATAAAGGTTCAGAAACTGGATCAAACGAACTCTTTGATTACTTACCAATGATTCTAACTGCTCGTGGAAGCCATTCGTGAAACATGATTGCTTCAGAGTTGAGCATATGCCACGCTTGGCTTGATATAAATGATCCTGTCCAAAGGTTATTTTCATATCAATAAATGTTTGTTCTAGTGACATACCCAGTGTGATAATAATACACATGTGAATCGTGTTTGCAGGTGTTCTACAGAGAAACCGGACGGGTCTTTAAACAAGTTTTAGTAAATGAATATGAGCTGGATGGGATGCCTTACGGAGGAAACGAAAAATCGGAAGTATAGCTCATTATAGTAAATATAAGAGGTATCATTATAAAATTTCCCAGGCAAGCATACTGTAATAGGGTAGCCAGCTTTGCACACACTTTTGTCAGAGTGGTAAATGGACTATAGATATATACTCCAGCATAAATGTAAGCAAAACACATAGGATCAGCTCTGGAACTAAAGATGGAAACCACCTAAGTACAAGGTATGTTTAGTATTGCTTGAGTATAAAATTTTAGTACTTTACGATGCGACGAGTGTATCTTGGCAGAGTGATGTCTGGGATGCTTACAGAGTTTCTAAGAAGACCACTTGAATAATTACCAATGAGCTTATCTTGATCATTAAAAAACTGATAAGTGATCACCATAGCTCGATCAAATGCTATAAGCTCATAAAAAACTGATTGCTTATCCGGGTGATTTATGGTAGGCACAAGTGTTAAATTCTAAAGGACTATTAGTAATCTACTGTATCTGCTCTAAATAAATATACACTTACTACTGCACCGTCATCGACAAAGCTTTGCATGTACCAGCCTTTTATGGTTATGTTCTGTACTATGGGCCTATCGGATATAGCAACTATTTTGTTTCCAGTGTCCTTGTATGAGCTTCCGTCATCTCGGTATAGAAAGCCAGTGGGCTTGTATCTACTCGGAGCACAGCATCCACCAACTATGAACAGATGAGCAAAAAAGAAGAGCTATATAATATATGCAAATACCTAATGTAACGGATATATCAAGTGCTGTAGAGGATACGTTCACTGATAACCAATTAGGCGCATGTAAGGTTATTAGATATTCTAATTTACCATACTGCTGAGGATAGTAAACCCAATCATCAGATTCCAAAGTATGCCATCCTTGATTCCCCAATTGGTTTATTTCTTTGCATAAACCATCCTTAAACATATTTTCCTTTCTGAATTTACACTTGGTTATAGCAAAGTAATGTATATATATCATTAACTATACCCATTTAGTATCTCCCAACACCTTGTAGTAAATGCGACTAAGAAACATGATGAGATTGCTTTTAGGTAAATGTTATGGTCTATGTACGCACTAGCATCAGTATATTGAACATATACCAACAAAAGACATACTAATATGCGTGCTTTCATATCGTTCTTTTGTAAAATTATGCAAAACAAAAGAGATTGGGTATGATAACGGCTTTATGTATTTTCATATAATCGAGTAACATATAAAGGAGAGTGAAGTGATAGTGATGGAGAAGTCTAAGGCAGTGATCAAAGCATGTCTCCTTTTTATTATTCTGATAAACCTTTCAAGTATTTCTGGTCGTTTTCTTTGAGCACAAAAAGGCGACTTTCTTCGATCATTGTTTGTTTTTGTTGTATACTTGCATATCTATACAGAAAACTAAAACACCAGCTGACAGCAATTGCCACTTTAATAATAAAATGGCATACATATGAGTACAACTGACTCAGGTTTCGAAGTAGATTTTGCTATGTGTGCAAATGTTTCCAAGTTTCTGTTGTTATACGGGATGTGCGTAAAAAGTTTCCGCCGTCTTGGGCTCATTTCATTTCCTGCAGACATTTTGCTTCTCTCTTTCTCTTTTTTTTTTTAGTAATATATTATCAATGGAACATCCCTCTTCTTGCCCTACCATTACTACAGTAACCTATGTCGATCCTAATGATGACAACAATGATATAAACAAGGTGCCTTATATCGAAGATCATCAAATTGAACCAATCTTTTGTGAATGCTGTGGAGTTGATATCTCGCTATTTGCGTAAGTATAGCTTGTACCCCCCCTTTTTTTTGACTATATATTTATTAACATTGTATATCTAAAGACATGAGTTTTGGTGTAGGTTTTCTACTTGATCAAGCTCACTTAAACCACAACATACACACAATTAACACACATACGCACACACATACACACTCTCCCTCTCTCATTTCGTATTTATTCAGCATGATTCCCCCTCTCCTTTTATTTCTGTTTTCAAAGAGATACCCTCAATGCAACACTAATGATAACAGCAACAACAGCAATAACAGAAGCATACTACACGCACACATGACATTCTTTTATGCAACCTTTGTAACTATTATTGTCACAGACATCCTTTATTCATGTACATAAAAATAATAAAAAAAAAGCACTAAAGCCCTTGCATGAACTTTATTATTATTTCCCCATTTACTTTCGAGCTGATATACAATAATTCGCATGAAAAAAAAAAAAAAGAGTTTATTTTTGCGTGCTTTAGTCATACTTTGATTTCCATATCCAAGAGTTCCCCATGATCCCCTGCCCTTGTTTATCAGCCATGCGATAATATTTAGCAGCCATTTTTAGGTCCTTTTTCACCCCGTGGCCATGGTAATAGCAATGACCAAGGTCATTTTGAGCATCTGGGTCGTTCAAGTCGGCTGCTATCTTGAAATAATAGGCCGCTGTCTCCTTGTTCTTCTTACACTATGCATGAATGTTGGTTTCTTTTCTTTTCTTTTCTTTTTTTTTTTTCCTTTTATTCATGTATACTACTTACACCCCAACCGTGTCTAAAGGATACGCCTAGCTCATAGATGGCCATGATCAATTCTCCCTTGGATGCTGATGTATTGACTGTATTCGAAAAGCCTTCCAAGTCTTCAACAGCATGCTCTGCTGCCTTTTGAAGATACTGAAACGCAAGGTGCTCGTTCTTTTTACAACCCTGTGACAATAAAAGAGCGTTTGTTTATATAAATATATGTATATATGCATCATATGGTCTTTCTCTTGACTGTGTGTCAGAAACTTACCCATCCGTGTCGAATAGATATGCCGTACAGAAACATACCCATCGGCAGATCCATGGCAGCTGCTTGCTTAAACATCTCGGCCGCTTGCTCTAGTTTGCCTAGCTCGTGAAATTTGATGCCTTCGTGGACAAAGCGCTCGGCTGCATTATCGGGTACAATAGACTGCTTTTTGTGGTGAGGAGCATTGTTTACTTTTAAGGTGTTGCTGTTGCTGTTGCTGTTGCTGTTGTTATTGTTATGGTTGACACTGTTGTTGTTGTTGTTGCTGCTGTTGCTGCTGCTATGGCTGATTTTATGATCTGGAGGATTGACAATCGGAAGAACTGTATGTGGCAAGTGTGTGTTGGGTGAAGGTGTAACAGGAGAGCTAGTGAAAGGAGAAAAGCCGTGGGGTGAGTAAGCACTACGAGAGGACCCGGGTGTCATTGATCCAGGCGTCATTGATCCAGGCGTGAGCTGAAGGTCGTGCGGTATAGAGGATGAACGTGTGGGAGTCACAATCGCTCGGTTGGGTGAAGAGCTGGATCGGATGGGTGTAGGTGGGATCACTAATGGTGTCAGCGGAGGCTTGGGCATTCTGCTGGTGCTTGTGCTGGCAATCGGAGCTATTTGACTGGTGTTACTACTACTATTGTTGCTATTCTTGTTGCTATTGTTGTTGTCATTGTCTTCTCTTGTCTGATGCTTTCTATTCTTTGGAACAGGCTGCAGTAAGAACTTGTCAGGTATCGCTTCCTGCACTGATTTCGCTGCCGTACAAGGCTCAGCATAGGCTTGATATAGCTTGAGAGGTGCCTCTGCAACGTGTTGTACATTAGACCGTACAGACTTTGGTTGACACATCACTTGTACTTGTGGATTTGGCAGACTATGTTCTTGTTGTTGGTAAGAATGAAAGAAGGCCATGTTTGGAACCGGAGAGATAGGCTCTTGGTTACTTGATCTGTCAATCACGATAGTTGACTTGTTGGGCTCTGTGTGATTTTGTAAAGGACAAAGAGTTGAGTGTTATCGTTACTTTCATTCGTTCTGTATTTACCAATATAGACATCTCTAGCATACCCACAACTATGGTCTTGATGGGTATAGTACTGAAGACCACTTGGATCAATGAGTGATTCTCGCTCGTAATCTAAAGGTTTCTGTAAAGAAGAGCTCCTTACAGGCTTTTATTTTTATTCTTTGCTTTTAATTTCGGTTTCCTTTTTATATACATGAAATGATGCTTTTTATATTTACATTTACTTGTTTCCATTGATCCATGCCTGCTGTCTAAGAATGAGTGAATAAGATGTCCATTGATATATAGGCTATGTATGACTCACATGATATTCTTGTGTTGAAGGCGGGGGTATCATTCTACTCTAGACAGTAAGATCATCCCTCTATTTCTTTTTCTTTTTTTCTTTTCATACCTCGAATTGGGTGTAGTATGCTCGAATGAATCATAGTGAAAGTTGGGTGTGTTTTTATACATTACAATGATTTAAAAGAGAGGAAAGGGGGGTAAGGAAAGAAGACTAGAAAGAAAAGAGCATAAAATGAAATAAAAGAAATGAACAATACCCTTTATGGCTTTTTAATCGTGTAATTCATGTATCACAATAAAATTATTTTTTTTTTTGGCTACTTAAGCCCGTTGTTATGGAAAATAGAGTGGGGAGGAGGAGATCGACTACAAGATGATCTTGACTATGAGGAAGCTCCCTTCTTTTATATCCTTTCTCATCATTTACATATACTCACCTCACGTTCACAGCCTGTTCCCCTCTTTGGTTACAGTCATAAAGAGATTTAATAAATCGGTCATTCAATCAAAAGATACTTTCTAATGATTTGACCAAGTCTGATTTTTTTTTTCTCTTCTTGTCTATTTAGCGTAAAGAAAGTATTTTTAGAAACTACACTTCAAACTTTGTTATTTTGGTGATTGTAATCATTCTTTTCTTTATTTGTTCGAATTGTGCAACGTAAAATAAAATACAGTAACGACAGAAGCTTTGTTTTTTGATTTTTATTTTTTTTGGGTGAGAATCGAAACAAAGAGACAAACCGAGAAGAAAACAAGCAGGAACATTAAGATCATTTCAAGTGTAATCATGATTCTTCATAAATTCGTATTCTACACAAAAAAAAACTAAGAAACTGGTGTTTAATTCCCTTGAAAAAATGTCCCCCCAAACAGGCCATTCCCAATTTATGTTCCTCTGTTACTTTCAGCATACTACAGCTTATGGCAGTGGTTGGACTAGGTGAACCATCAGCGAGCTTTGTGTCATTGGATGAACCATGAGATACGCTAGCTCACCCATTAGCGCGAACTGAAAGCGGTACAGCTAATTCTAAAGAGTTCCTTGATCCAGGAACATCAGTATGACCCGAACGAACAGCATCTATATCAGCAAACAAAGGGATCATCCAGTATGCTGATAATATCAGCTTATCATTTAACCCTTTTAATTAATTTCATGTAGTGTTTATTTCTTAAAGAGAGAGTATTCAAATAAAATAATATTTACAAGACCAGGTAGAAGCATATTTTTTTTTATGAAAAGGTATCTTTGTCTAAGGTATCATTTTTTTTTTCTCTCTCCTTACTCAACAAAGCCTCTAGCAAATTGATAGATGTAATCGGCACTTTCCGATATAGCTTCGGAATCAAGAAGCTCATCAGGCGATTGACAGGGTGTCAGTGGTAAAACGTTTGTATCATCTTTACAGGCCCAATAGTTATCTGCACAGGAAGAGGAATGAGCAGACTCTTGTCGACTAGGTGAACTTGTGGTCACCAGTTGTTCAGTCACCAGTGACTTTCGGCCCCAACAAACGTAAAAATTTAAATAAGACCGATTGACCAATCCTTCATCGATTATTCCCTGTATGGCCATTTCACATTCATCCAAAGAAAGGTTACATGCCTCCATGAATAGTCGTTTACAGCTTCTGATGGAATCAATAAGACAGCTATTGATACATGCCTTCATTGAGCCAGGTTCTTCAAAAGCAAGCGTGGATACTTGTTGATGAATGTCTGTCAATTTCCCCAAATGTTCAAGGAGCGTGGGCAGTTTTTGTGTCCAGGTTACGTCTATGTTATGTTGCTCATGGACGTACGAGACAACTAAGATAAGTTGGTGAGTTTAGATATGCATTATGAAATGAGTATAAAATCCTACAGTTTTCAAATACTTGTGTGCCAGTAGGTCCAAGATTTTTCAAAACGGGATCACAATCCCTTATTTCAAAATACCCACCAGGCTTGAGTACACGAAATACTTCAGACATAACAAACTATTCCAGAGAGAGCAGAGATTAGTTGCTGATATTATCCAATTAAAATTAAACTGACCTGCATGTCCGATTTGGAAAAGTAGCTCCAAACAAGTCTCATGTGAATAAAATCAAAATGCATATCCGGAAAAGGAAGTCCAGACGGACCTAAGAAGTCGGTAGTCAAGAAATGGGCATTACGAGGCTTGATGTTTTTAGGATAGCTTGTGACAAAATCAATACCATAAAATTGAGCATCGGGGAAAGTGGATGCCATTTCCATGATCCAAGTGCCAGGTCCACAGACGATGTCTAGTACCCGAGGTACAGTGCCTTGGTCACTCATAGGTCGACAGCAATTTTCAAAAGGAGGAGTGATGGGGGTATGAGGACTAGAAACGGGATCCTTTGCGACAGAGATCGAGTTGGATAAAAGATCGTAGATTGGAGGGGAAAAGTCGCTGCCAAACAAGTGTTTAACAACATAGTGCTACGTTAACCAGTGTCCAAATTTAGAAAAAACTATCAAATACAAAAAAAAGTTCATGCAAACTTACGACACTTAAAAGGTAATCTTGAGCCATATCGTCAGCACCAAGAAAGTACTTTTCATCCTGGCATGCTTTGAGATTTAAATCGAATGACGCTGAGCTGCTTACACTTTTGATTGTGTTGTTCCTTAGAGAATGAATCGACACTTCCAAGCTGGATGATGGCTTGCTTAGCATTCTTTGCATACATCCTTTCATGTCACTAAGAATTGAACTTGATCGACTAATAGAAGTGGTTCTTGAAGCAGAAATGGATTGACAATCTTTTCTGCACGACAATGGTTCTTCAAATTCTTGTTCATCACAGACAGCTTGATCACTTTGTTGTTTCTTCTTTTTATAAATTCCACGAGAGGCAGCACTGCCCATTTGAGTTCTGTGTGTACTATAGCTTTGCTTTTAAGCAAAAAGGAGACTAAGAAAGAAAAAGAAGAGATATTGTAAGCTACCAATGCTCATTGTAAATCTTTTTTTTCTTTACTAATTTTGGTAATTATCAAGTTTCAAACATCCGATAATCAGTCTGTTCTAACAGTCCTACTACCAACTTAAACGAGATCTAACCAAGGTACTGTTTGCTTATTACTGCTGTTAGCTTGTATCAATAGATATAATGGCACAAAATACTACTTTTATTACTATTATCTTCATATTATCAATAGTGGATAAACTTTTTTTTTTATTAAATATGTAATTCACCAACAATAAGGTAACCTATTACAACACAATGGTAATTTTTTTTGTGGTTTGACATTGGGCGGCACCAATGAGGTGAAATGGTCTTACGTCACCTGACCCTCATCAATTTCTACACATACTCACACTCACACACACACACACAACCAGTCTGAATGTAAAAGAAACTATGTGTGTGAAGTTGTATCAACATTTTTAATTTGAATAATGTTTCACGTAAGTAATCTTATTCCCACAGACCACAAATTGAATCAATGGGGAGTAGCAACAATAATTTTTGCTTGTAATAATAAAAAAATGCATAGAAAGGGGATAGCTTGTAAAATGGTGTGAATATAAAGTATGCTTATGTTGGTGACTATATATACATTTACAATGATAATAAAAGCACAATGACTAAGTATGTAAAAATGATCAATTGATGTCATCGGTTTTGTCTATTTATCCTCTGTTGTTCACTTCTGTATTCATACTATCAACAATCGTAGTAGCAGTAGAGGCTCTCCGCTTCTTTGCATTTTCTTTCAGCATCTCCCATCGTTCTTTATATTTGCTGACTAGCATTTTCTGTTTCTCATTTTGAATCTTCAACTGTCTATTCTCTTCTTCAAGTTCTCTTAATCGATTGACTATTATATAAATAAGTAAAAAAGAAGGTATAGACTAAATGCCATTTACCTAAATCATTTCCTCCTCCTCCTATCAGTCCAGGATGTCGTATTGAATTTACATTAATCGAACTGGCTCCTGTACTTGGAAGAGCGACTGCTGACAATCGCATGGAAGACTCATGGTGAGATTGCATAATTCGCTTAGCCTGTCGATGCACATCGTTTCTAAACTGAATAATACTACTCTTTAACGTGTTTCCCTCTTCTGCTGCCTATAGTATATTTTTTTTATTAATATGCTTATCATTAATGCAAAACACATACCAATTCTAGTGCTTTAACACGCTTCGTAAGCAATGCGATCTGTTTTCTAAGCTTTTCATTTTCGTGTTGATAGAATTCTTTATTTTTCTCACCGTCGTTTTCTCTAACAGATTATCTCATTAGAAACAAATTATCAAAAACATTATCTATTTATATTTACTTTAAGGTATCATCTTTCCCAGCCTTGATCATAGAATGCTGTCGTTCTTGATACTCTTTAGGTTTAGGAACAATATAGAATGATTCTATCATATTATTATTGTCCAATTGCAAATCATGATCAATATCTGGATCCAAGTGTGTCTGGGTAACAATTGGGACTGGTATATCATTTTCATTGAGAGGAGCAGAGGCAAATGCAACTGCTGGATTAATGAGGTTTTGAACCAAACCTTCGACTACTTCCAAGAATTTATTAAACGGATCGTCATTCTCATCATCCTATACACAATATATACCCATTATTAAGTCTACACAAGACAGACATCAAATCATACCACACAAAACGCTTACATTTGACAACAACGCATAGGATTCTCCTATTCCATCTGCTCTCTGAAGTCCATCTTCGGATGATAGGTATTCACTTCTGTTTGCAAGCCTCGATACTAACAATCCATTGTGTTTGTTATTATTACTGTTGCTATTACCCCTCTTATCTGGTAAAGCATTACGAAGCCCTCCACTTGAGCCCATCATTCTCATATTATTGTTATGGTGCGCAGTCAGCTGTTTATCTTTTTGCGTTGTTATATTTTTCATTCGCTGTATCTTTCGATCCAAATCATTTGCCTTTCGTTTATGATTTGCTATAAGAAGCTGTAATGTTTTTGCGGTCTATCACACATAACTTAGCTATGGCACAAATAATATATTTACGCATATACCTCGGCATCTTTGACATCATTCAAAGCAATTTGAAATTGTTCTAAAGTTGCTCAAGTTAGTTACGCATATCAATAGTCCACTTTTTATTGTTCTATTACCTGCTGCCTTAAAATGTGCTTCGGCAGCTTTTTCCCAAGATTCCTCTTCTTCAAAATCTTCTGCAGCATTTGCAAATCTATGTCCCTATATATCAAAATATGTCCCCCCTCTCCCCTTAGTCTTGTTTTAAGCCAAGATCAGCCTTTGTTGACTTTTTTGTATACTTACAGCATTAACTGGTGCTTCTGTACTCATTTGCTCAAGTCCAAAGAAAAGAAGGGAAAAAAATCAAACATAGCACGGACTTTGAAAATAACACGGAACAAAGCAAGCATGATGCATAAATTATTGTTGTGTCTTGTATACTGCTTGCTTGGTGTCTACTCATCTTCTTACCCCTTGTAACATGTGACTTGATCATTTATCTTTTTAATAAAACGCAATATTTATTTCATGATCAAATCAGCCTTTAATAAATTCAACCTAAGCAAAAGAGCTCTTGATGACTTTTCAAAATCATTGCCAGCAATAAAAGATTGATCAAATGCTTGAGTACGCTTATTTTGCTTCTTTGTTCGTACAATCTAAATTTTAATCGGTTAGCCATGTTTTTATAAATATATACATGACATGCTTACCTTGTTATGACTATCAATACGCGCTGCCATGGTCTTGTTCTTGCCAATTAAATCAGTCAAGATCTCTTCTAATGTTTCAATATCAATACTAAATGCCGTAGCCATCTTGCGCATATCAATTATAGAGTATGGAACACAGTACTGTGCAATTGCTTTTTCATGAACAAGTTGTATCAAATGGTCCACATTAGATTCCATATACATGTCTAATCTTAATTGTTGTTTATATTTCTTCAGCACTTCAAAGCAATGAGTATATTTGGACTGATAGAATGACTCTATTAGCTCATTAAGAGCAGGCTCTAATGCCAAAAAGTTTTTAAAATTGGCATTTGAGAGCACTTGACTCTGCAATTCACGACGATCAAAGGAGGCGAGTGCTGATAAACCACCATAGATGGCTACATCGTTGGAAGACAAGACGTCGTCAAAGGCTGCACATGCTTCAAATGGTATATCAATTAGTGTGTTAGCTATAGATCGATATTTCTTTGGCACATCTGTTCTGCCCAAGAGAGTCAAGGTTTGAAAACATTTCAGCTTTGAATTTACGCCGATGCTCTGCGCGGTATTAGGTATAGTCTCGGCTCTAGCAAGATAGGTCTGAATGACGTGCGAGAAGTTGCATTCATCTAAATAGACCTATAAAACTGGTCAGGTTATGCCTCACTTTTGATATTGTACACGCTTACCTGGATGGTTTTAAAGCACATTTCTGTTGTATGTTGGTTTGTAGTGCAATAGTCTCTGGTTCGTACAAAGTTTCTGATAGCTGCCGGTCCATCACCACACCTGCAATAAAATTCACCTAATTTTATATAACACATCTTGGCAACAATATATTGAGTACAGTGTCAGCCATTAGCTATTGTTATTTCTTACTCTCATTTCTTCTTTCAAGAGTCTACTCTTGGCAGCTTTTAGTTCATTTTCTAATGATTCCAACGTTGTCTTTGAAGTGATGCGAACATGATCAATCCAACTTTGATCAAGTGCTTCTGTAGGTTCACCTCTTCTTTCTAATACGTTATTTAACTCTGTAATAGTTGATTTATATTTTTCAACATCAAGTGTGTTTTCCTTAATGTCTTTAATTGCTTGGCGGTATGCTTTCACAGCAAGTTGATTGCATTTTTTTGCAATGTAAAGGGATCTAAATATTTTACTATAACCTTTTTTGTTTTCTTTTTAATAATGTTATCTAAGGAGAGATATTTTATTATTTTACCTCTGTAGTTGTTGATATAGTTGTCAAAGTCAAGATTGGCAGGTAATTCTATACTTCTCTCGGCCATCTTTGTAATCTTTTGGAATAAAAAAAGACACACACAACTGATTTTTGGACGGCGCTGTAAAAAAAGGCTGCATATGTGTATCAGATATCATTTTAATAATGATGTTCAAAAGACACACAAGACGCCAGAATAAAGGGGGAAAAAAGGTACGATTATATTAAAATAAGCATAAATTAGCCCATTTGCAAACAAATGCATATACTATTTATTCATATAATAAGATGTTTATTTTTGCGCCAATTCGTTACCAATCTTATAATTCATAATCTTACTCCAGTCCATCTTGTTACGTGTCATAGGTAACGTTCTTCTAAGGCCCTTAAAAGTATTCTCTGCTAGTTCATTATAGCTTTCATTCATTGTACTTTGATAAGTTCGATCAAAAGTAGTGATCTGCTTTAACAAAGCGACTGCTTGCTGCTTCTCATCCTAAAGAAAAAAAAGATATTATTCAAAGGATATCAAAGAAAAAAAAAGATTCCTTACGCTGATTTCTGTTAATTGTGCTTCAAATGTTTTATCAGCATTCAGTTGAACGTTGCCTTCTTCATAATAATGAACATTCACTCTCGTACTTCCTTTCAAACTGTGAGATTGGGTATCGTATATCCATGAGGAAAGCCATCTGCCGTTCCAAAAGTTACTGGGGTTATATTTATTGTCTACAATGGCGATAACAATTTCATTATTTTCGGTCGTGTGAACAGTGCATACGCCGTTGGGATAATGATCATTAACGTATTCCAAAGCTTCCTTTTCAACTGTCTCTCGAAGAGACTCCAAGGGACTCTCAACAGCATAATCTTCCAAATCAGATGCTGTCTACACAAAAGAAAACAAAAAAAGTGTCAATCAAAGTTGGCATATAAATTTTTCCTTTTGTTCTGATACTCACCAAACGCATGTGATCAAACTTGAATGTCTTTTTTGAGCGTGGGTCGAGGAATCTGTCCTCACCAACTTTACCGTGTTTGCATACAATGACCTATGTGTTTCTTATTAGCTCAAATTCGGTGCTTGTAAATAATAAAAGCATACATCATAATCAGTATCTGGAAGACGAACAGTAATGTGTTGCTCTGTATTATATTGTTCAAGTGTTTGAAGGATGCCATCTTGAAGAGCCTCATCATCATTGACCAATGTACGTACGTCTATATAAAGTTTATTAGTATCTAAATTAAGAACGTGTAATTTTATGTACCATTAAATACATCATTAACTTCTCCAGGTGGACTGGAAAGAAGAAAAGAAGAGGCAATTTTAACTTTATCTTCAACTGAAATGCTGCTCATGGCTTAAAGAACACTTCAACAAAGCAGCTGCACACAAAATCAAGTTCTTCAGCTGATTGCGGCTTTTGAAAGCACTTTTTTTTGCTGTTGTCCTGGGTCATTCATGACACTACGGTTATTTGGTTGACTTGAGACACCATGCAAACGTTATTGAGAATGAATAGATGTCATGTCTGTAATAGAAAGTATATATTGCTCATATAGGAGCAAACAGAGCTTAATATTTTTGGATATCCGTAAATCAACGAGCATTTCATTTTGATAATATTTTCAGGAACAAAGACATGCCATAAAAATGTTTTTTTTACAAACATACATCGTATGCTGATGATATATATGTCATGAAAACAAAAAAAAAGCCCGGGTGATTGAACAAAATGTTGGTCCAAGTTATCAAGCAAAAATCATTAGACAATTTTATTCCATCTCAGCATCTTTGAGTATTTAATCAATGTTCAGTGGACGTATTTAGAACGACTGTACTTTCTTTACGCTAAATAGACAAGAAGAGAAAAAAAAAATCAGACTTGGTCAAATCATTAGAAAGTATCTTTTGATTGAATGACCGATTTATTAAATCTCTTTATGACTGTAACCAAAGAGGGGAACAGGCTGTGAACGTGAGGTGAGTATATGTAAATGATGAGAAAGGATATAAAAGAAGGGAGCTTCCTCATAGTCAAGATCATCTTGTAGTCGATCTCCTCCTCCCCACTCTATTTTCCATAACAACGGGCTTAAGTAGCCAAAAAAAAAAATAATTTTATTGTGATACATGAATTACACGATTAAAAAGCCATAAAGGGTATTGTTCATTTCTTTTATTTCATTTTATGCTCTTTTCTTTCTAGTCTTCTTTCCTTACCCCCCTTTCCTCTCTTTTAAATCATTGTAATGTATAAAAACACACCCAACTTTCACTATGATTCATTCGAGCATACTACACCCAATTCGAGGTATGAAAAGAAAAAAAGAAAAAGAAATAGAGGGATGATCTTACTGTCTAGAGTAGAATGATACCCCCGCCTTCAACACAAGAATATCATGTGAGTCATACATAGCCTATATATCAATGGACATCTTATTCACTCATTCTTAGACAGCAGGCATGGATCAATGGAAACAAGTAAATGTAAATATAAAAAGCATCATTTCATGTATATAAAAAGGAAACCGAAATTAAAAGCAAAGAATAAAAATAAAAGCCTGTAAGGAGCTCTTCTTTACAGAAACCTTTAGATTACGAGCGAGAATCACTCATTGATCCAAGTGGTCTTCAGTACTATACCCATCAAGACCATAGTTGTGGGTATGCTAGAGATGTCTATATTGGTAAATACAGAACGAATGAAAGTAACGATAACACTCAACTCTTTGTCCTTTACAAAATCACACAGAGCCCAACAAGTCAACTATCGTGATTGACAGATCAAGTAACCAAGAGCCTATCTCTCCGGTTCCAAACATGGCCTTCTTTCATTCTTACCAACAACAAGAACATAGTCTGCCAAATCCACAAGTACAAGTGATGTGTCAACCAAAGTCTGTACGGTCTAATGTACAACACGTTGCAGAGGCACCTCTCAAGCTATATCAAGCCTATGCTGAGCCTTGTACGGCAGCGAAATCAGTGCAGGAAGCGATACCTGACAAGTTCTTACTGCAGCCTGTTCCAAAGAATAGAAAGCATCAGACAAGAGAAGACAATGACAACAACAATAGCAACAAGAATAGCAACAATAGTAGTAGTAACACCAGTCAAATAGCTCCGATTGCCAGCACAAGCACCAGCAGAATGCCCAAGCCTCCGCTGACACCATTAGTGATCCCACCTACACCCATCCGATCCAGCTCTTCACCCAACCGAGCGATTGTGACTCCCACACGTTCATCCTCTATACCGCACGACCTTCAGCTCACGCCTGGATCAATGACGCCTGGATCAATGACACCCGGGTCCTCTCGTAGTGCTTACTCACCCCACGGCTTTTCTCCTTTCACTAGCTCTCCTGTTACACCTTCACCCAACACACACTTGCCACATACAGTTCTTCCGATTGTCAATCCTCCAGATCATAAAATCAGCCATAGCAGCAGCAACAGCAGCAACAACAACAACAACAGTGTCAACCATAACAATAACAACAGCAACAGCAACAGCAACAGCAACACCTTAAAAGTAAACAATGCTCCTCACCACAAAAAGCAGTCTATTGTACCCGATAATGCAGCCGAGCGCTTTGTCCACGAAGGCATCAAATTTCACGAGCTAGGCAAACTAGAGCAAGCGGCCGAGATGTTTAAGCAAGCAGCTGCCATGGATCTGCCGATGGGTATGTTTCTGTACGGCATATCTATTCGACACGGATGGGTAAGTTTCTGACACACAGTCAAGAGAAAGACCATATGATGCATATATACATATATTTATATAAACAAACGCTCTTTTATTGTCACAGGGTTGTAAAAAGAACGAGCACCTTGCGTTTCAGTATCTTCAAAAGGCAGCAGAGCATGCTGTTGAAGACTTGGAAGGCTTTTCGAATACAGTCAATACATCAGCATCCAAGGGAGAATTGATCATGGCCATCTATGAGCTAGGCGTATCCTTTAGACACGGTTGGGGTGTAAGTAGTATACATGAATAAAAGGAAAAAAAAAAAAGAAAAGAAAAGAAAAGAAACCAACATTCATGCATAGTGTAAGAAGAACAAGGAGACAGCGGCCTATTATTTCAAGATAGCAGCCGACTTGAACGACCCAGATGCTCAAAATGACCTTGGTCATTGCTATTACCATGGCCACGGGGTGAAAAAGGACCTAAAAATGGCTGCTAAATATTATCGCATGGCTGATAAACAAGGGCAGGGGATCATGGGGAACTCTTGGATATGGAAATCAAAGTATGACTAAAGCACGCAAAAATAAACTCTTTTTTTTTTTTTTCATGCGAATTATTGTATATCAGCTCGAAAGTAAATGGGGAAATAATAATAAAGTTCATGCAAGGGCTTTAGTGCTTTTTTTTTATTATTTTTATGTACATGAATAAAGGATGTCTGTGACAATAATAGTTACAAAGGTTGCATAAAAGAATGTCATGTGTGCGTGTAGTATGCTTCTGTTATTGCTGTTGTTGCTGTTATCATTAGTGTTGCATTGAGGGTATCTCTTTGAAAACAGAAATAAAAGGAGAGGGGGAATCATGCTGAATAAATACGAAATGAGAGAGGGAGAGTGTGTATGTGTGTGCGTATGTGTGTTAATTGTGTGTATGTTGTGGTTTAAGTGAGCTTGATCAAGTAGAAAACCTACACCAAAACTCATGTCTTTAGATATACAATGTTAATAAATATATAGTCAAAAAAAAGGGGGGGTACAAGCTATACTTACGCAAATAGCGAGATATCAACTCCACAGCATTCACAAAAGATTGGTTCAATTTGATGATCTTCGATATAAGGCACCTTGTTTATATCATTGTTGTCATCATTAGGATCGACATAGGTTACTGTAGTAATGGTAGGGCAAGAAGAGGGATGTTCCATTGATAATATATTACTAAAAAAAAAAAGAGAAAGAGAGAAGCAAAATGTCTGCAGGAAATGAAATGAACCCAAGACGGTGGTTCCCTTTTATATTCAAATGTATAAAACAATTAAAACTCCATTAGGACATTTCTAGAAATCGACCAGATCGTGGAGTAAACTCGATTTCAATAGAAAAAGTAAAGAAGCATCACAGATTAGCATTTTACCCAAAACGGAAAGTTTCTTTTTCCTTCCTTATTCTTCCTTGAGGCACAAACCTGTCAATTCCTTTTCTTTCTTTCTTTTTTCTTCTTTTTTTATTCATTTACTTAATCACCACACGATGGCATTGGTTCATTGGCTCACTGTTGCTATTCAAGTATGCATTATTATCCAGGGGAGAACAATTCCTCTGATCTTGATATAATTCATATCAAAACATGTTCTCTGGCACATTCTATGGAATTGAAATCTGCTTACCCCTTCTTTTTTCCCCTACCATTACCCCCCATCGTTCTGCCACCCCCACCTTATACCCTAGGATTATTTGTACTACGTATAAGATGTTCTTTATTGTTCTATTTTAACAAACAAAAAAATAAACTACTTTTTTGCTTTATTATCATCAAGCCACTTTTGGATTGATTTGAGATACTCGGGCTTATTCCTACTCAGCAAGGTAGCTCCATGTACAGCCGAATATTGTAAATGTTTCATATCTATTTTAGTATATGTTAGTCTTTTATTAATACTTGTCCCTGAATGGCACCTACCTGGACTCAAGTCAGCTTTAAGTACACTCATTAACTTGTGCAGGAGAACCATCACACCTGATTTATCATGACCTGCAGTGCCTTCACCTACTCCTAGAGATCCTAGAACACCAAGAAGCTCCAGACAAAGACCGTCAAGCACCTCATCTCCAATCATGGGCCATAAGGTATTTCGGATAAAGTCATTATAAATTGTTGTCCAGTTATTGATTGTGCTAAAGGCTAGCTCTAAGCTCTTGATTATGCAAAACGTTTGTTGCTTGAAAGCAGCTATTACACTTGTTTAATAACGTGCTTTTCTTTCTGCATGTATTTTGTTTTTATTACCTTTGTTCTTGTTGTACAGTTCCTTGAAATCGGAAGACTTCATTGTTATAGCAGCCTGTGATATAACAGATTGCAAAGGAACTATATCGTGCGGTGAAGACCATTGGCATAAAGTCACAAGCCTTGAATATGTTTCTTTAACCTATTAAGCAAGCATCTTTTTAGTTTCAGGCCTGCAATCATTTAATATGACCTACTGTTTTATTATGACTTGCGTTCACCATATGAGCCAAAGCAGAACAAATAACGGTCTGTAGCTCCCAAGGCTGTCGTTGTTGTTGTTGTTGTTCTATTAGTGAAATGCTCTCGTTATAGATACAGGCAATATTAAGTAAGCATGCAGTAGTGTTTGCAACACATTTTGAATATCGAACAATATCGAAGCATATGACGCGCATTCGACTCAAGTCACCATGCTCTTTACAAAGTATGGATACCAGTCGCACATAACGCCTGAACATTGTAAGTTAGATCTCTCTTTTTTTTTTTTCATCATTGAAACTTACATCAGTATAGTTTGAGATTTTGTTGATTGTATGCGTTCAGCAACGATAGCAGATAATGCCTTCAATACTTTATCGTATGCTTCTGTATTTTCATGAACCAAAGCCCATAAAAGCCAAGCGTACAGCTTTTCTCTTTTATCAACAGTACCAGGCACAGAGATCCGTAGTCCACCAGGGATACCAAAGGTAGTATCAGACAACTCAGAAGGGTTAGCAGCCGATTTGATTTTTTCATAACACGCATCTATTTCTGACAGGATAGGCTCTAATTCGTGAGATATATCGATATGACTAGGCAAAGTGTACTTTGTATTGACAGATTGATCAGCTATCTTTAAATACTTGTTATCTTGTTTCTGTTTCTTGGATTCAGGCAGTTCAGACACATCTACAGTCTTGCTAGGTCGTTTCTTGCTTACAGGTGTAGGATTTGATCCGATGAGCTTTGAAGGGTTTCTGCTATTCGCAAATTTTTCAAGCTTGCTCTTGCTGCTATTGCTCGTTGTAGGTTTTGTTAGTGTAGAAGATATGATGGGTGGTGGAGGTATAAGACCAGTGACACGATAAGCAGTCTTATCGATCTGTTCTTTGGGTATTGGTGTTGAAGGTGTTAAAGGTGTTGATGGTGTTGTCGTTCGTGAAAGAGAAAGGGGCCTTGTAGTAGGTTGCACTACAGGTGATCTGATGGGCGTTGATTTTAAAAGGGGTTTGCGGACGGGCGAAGGTAATGCTTGTTGAGTCTTTGAAGAGGTTTCGTTTCTATTTACAAAAGATGATGGTAATGCTGGTGGTATGGCTGATGATGCTGGTGATTTGTTATGTGATGTTACTAAAGGACGTTGTTGTATAGGCTTTGGTGGTTGAACAGGAGTAGATGTAGTGCTACTAAAGGACAAATCGTGTGTAGTGGTAGTGGTCTCTTCGTCAGAAAGTTGATTGCTGCTCTTTTCTTGATTTATATACATGCTTTTAATTTGGTTTCGTAAGAATTCGTTTTCAAACTTTGAGAGCTTAAGCTCAGCTTTAGCTGCCTGCAATTGCTCCTTTAGACTGGAATCGTTATAAATAGGTTGGCTTGCATGTGAAAGTGCTTCAGCTTTGGCAGTAGCCTCTGTTGCTGCCTTTTCAGCCATAATAAGCTTAGTTTGGAGTTTATCATAGGCGTCTTTTAACTGATTGAGTTCATTATCAAGTGTTTCATACTTTTGCTTGAATTCTTGCAGCTCATCGTTTGTTTCTTTTTGTTTTGTGTTGACCATTTCATGGTTGATTTGAAGTTCCATCAGTTCATCCTCTGCTTTATCTTTTTGTTCACGTTCTTCTTCCAGCTGCTCTTTTAGCTCTTGCACTTCTTGAGTTTTTGTCTTTAATTCTTGTTGTAAGCGTTTTATTTCTGCATTTTGTTTGGCACTACCCTGCGTCTTCTTTCCACTTGTTTCCCTAAGACTTTCACATTGTGCTTCCAGCTGTTTTATATAAATCTAATACATGATGTATGAAAACCCTGCTTTTAAAATGTATTTTAATGTGTGCGTTACCGTATTACTGCTGACAGCAGATTCAGCCTTCTGTTTCTCTTGTGTGAGAGTCAAGATCGCTTGTTGCAGAGATTGAATTTTATTCTGAAGTTCTACTGGATCGTCACCTGAAGATGCAAGTAGTTGATTGTATTTTGCTTCAAGCGACTTGTATTCTTTATCACGCGTATCAATCATCTTTTGTGCTTCTTCAAGACTGTTATTGAGTGAAGTTATCTTTTTAGCCTTTTCTTCAGCATCTAGAGAAAGGGCGCGATTAAATAAAGAATAATAAAAAAAAGTATTTTACCTTTCTTAGCTGATGTTAAATACTTGTAAAGCTTATTTGTTGCAATAATACGACCCTTTAGGCTTTCTATGTTACTCTTTGCTTGTTCCTCATTATTATCTGTTTCTTTTCGTACGTCTGCCATCGCTGTCAAAGATAAGAAGAAAGAAGAAAAAAAATAAAATGTGACTTTGTTTTTAACGTGCATACTCTGTGTAATTCTGTATGCTTTTTTTGGAAGACGTTTTACAACAATAAGAAAGAGAGAGCAATCTTCGGTGTCTTTTATTTTTGTTTGTAAATGTTTAATAAAGAAAGGCAGAGAATTCCTTATTTAGCTTTAATCTCTTGCTCTTGACGTATCTTTTGCTTGTACAAATCTTAATAGAGAGAGCAATGCCTGTAAATATATAAAATGGATTTGATAGGGTAAGATTTTGGATACAAGCAGTTTACACAAATTCAAGATTTCTGTAACAGAGAAACTTTGTGGTAAAATCATTCTTATTGACAAAGGTTCATCAAAAGAAGTATAAAATGAACATCATTTATAACATACACTCTCGTCCTCTTGCTGGTAAGCCTAATGCAAAGCAGCTATGAAGCAAGTATCTAATACGGTTCTCCTCGTTGGATATTTTTTACTACTAGAGATACTAAACCATACAGCTGTGTTGTAATTGATTCAGGGCAAATATTCCAAGCTGCTGATGTTTAAGGAAATCACGATATTCAGAATTAAGCTAAACCAATAGAAAAGCAGAGAATATCAAGTGATACAACAATGATAAGCTTTTTGGGAATATACAAATATGGAAGTTTAATACGAATTTGGTAAAGGGCATCAAGAAGCATAAAAGCAAGATTTCTTTTCTTTTATTTCCCTTTATTCTCTCTTATTTTTATTCTTAAACAATGAAGACGATTACATCCTATTTCATATCAATGTTCATTAGTTACATCATCACTAAAGTGGGTCAGAAACTATTTTGGAATAACAAGAAACCGGATGGAACGATAAAGAAGCCTTGGCCACCTAGTCCAAAGGGACTACCTTACTTTACAAATGCTTACCATCAATTTCAAGAAGAAGCATATCGTGCATTAACGAGATGGTCAAATCAACTGGGTGAGCTCTTCTCGGTAGAAATTGGATTTAAAAGAATCATTGTCTTAAACTCCCCTGAACTGGTCCGAAAGTTTATGTTGGAGAAGGACCAATACAACTCATGTCGAGTACCTTCTGATACTTTTGAAAATACTGTTACTGACAGAGGTAAGACCGTTTTCTCAGCCCCTTTCTCAACTTATTGGGCTCGTTTGAGACGTGCTGTTCATCTCGTCATTGGCATCGGTCACTATTCACAATTTGAACCTGTTCTCAAATCACAGTCCGAAACTCTCTCGGCTTGTATTAAAGGATCTCTAAATGAAGAAAAGAAGCTCACTGGGAAGGAACTTCGTCGATTGGTTGACCTTGTTGCTGCTGATCTTGCCTTGACTATGGTTATCGGCCCTGAAAAACGAGATCCTGATCTCATGCTTGACTTGGTTGAGAGATGTCGTAAGCTTGAAGCACTTCAGACAAGCAAGTATAACCGCATAGGCCAATTCTTTCCTGTTTTCAACGCACTCTATGATCTTTTCAAGCTCATCACAATGGATAACTCTGTAACTAAAACCCGCAATGATCTCTTGCAAGTATTTATACCATGGTTTGATACCATTTATGCACAAAGGGAAGCAGTAGAACAAGCTAAAAAGGAAAAAAATGAACCCTTCAGCAGAGTACCTACTATTGGCAAAAGTTTATTAAACATCGATCCTTCCAAGAATGACCCAGAACCTGTTCAGCTCACAAAAGAGGAGATATTCATCAACATCTCTCATATCACGGTTCATGCTCAAACCTACTTGGCCTCGACTCTCTTCACCGTGATCCAACGTCTTGCTACCGAATCTGAATGGCAAGAAAAGATATTGGAAGCATCTGGAGAAGAGCAGATAGGTGTAGCCAAAGCCTTTGTTTATGAATCGCTACGTTTAGATGCACCTAACAAATTGCTTGCTTATGCTCCCCGTACAGATTATGAATTTGAAGCATCCGATGGCTATACTTATCGCATTGACACGGATGCACAACTCGTTGTGAATGTAGATGCAATCCATCATAACAGCAGATATTATCCTAATTCCGAAAAGTTCGATCCTCAGCGCTTCTTGAAATCCGAAAAAAAGATGGTCAGTCTGCTACAAGAAGATCAAACTGGTAAGAAGATTGCTAATGATCATATGGCATTTGGTGCTGGACGTCGTGCCTGTCTTGGTAGAAAAATAAGCGAGGAATTCTTGGTGACAGCCCTGGTTCATTTGACTCAAACATATAAACTGGAAGGAGGCAACGTAGACAACAAGGCCGAGATCGGGACTAATCTTTGGTCATGGACTGGAAGAACAGAAACAGAAGGAGCATCTATTAAGTTTGTCAAGAGACAATAATTTAATTTCTTAAAAAAAGTAATAATAAATTCTGTAATTTCTACACTTTTTTTCTTTCTCCTCTTACTTTCTTATGCGTGTTTTATGCGTAGCTGAGAAACCAAGTGCTGCCAAAAAAATAGCCGAAATCTTGTCTCAATCTGATTATCAAGTTGTAAAGCTTTTATATATACAACAGTCTATCCTAGAAAGCTAATCATGTGTGTTAGAGACAAACACAAGATCCTCATGTCAAAAACTACTGTTTCACTTACAACTTGAATAATCGACCTACCAGTTTTGTAATGACATCCTTAAAGGGCCATTTCTTAGAAATGCACTTTCAAGGTGAAATTGATAAAAACTGGAACTTGTTTCCAATCGAAGATCTGTTTACGACACCCATCATTAAAGTGATTCCAGAAAAGATGTTACCGATCGCAAATAATATCAAAGCAGAAGTGAGATCAGCCGATGTCTTGTTCATTTGGACTGATTGTGATCGAGAAGGAGAAGCTATTGGTGGAGATGTGAAGGATCTATGTCAAAGCGTGAAGCCAAATATTCAAATCTGGCGTGCACAGTTCTCTGCGATGCAACCAGCGTAAATATACATATATTGTAGTCATCAATAGTTCCTCTTTTACTTACTGCCTTTTAATAGAGCCATACATCACGCAGCAAGAAATCATGTTGAATTAGATATGAAACAAGTATATGCGGTCAATACTAGACAAGAACTCGATTTGAGAATAGGTGCCGCATTTACTCGATTACAGACAAAGAACCTTCGCAACTTCTTTGAACAAGTTGGCAAAAAGAAGCTTCTCAGTTACGGTAGCTGTCAGTTTCCTACACTTGGATTTGTTGTAGATAGATATCAACAAGTTCAAAACTTTATACCACAGGAATTTTGGAAAATTACCATGACTTACAGTCAGCCAAACATTCAACCAGGAGAAGAGCGCTTGGTGACTGAGTTTACTTGGAGAAGAGAGCATCTGTTTGATCAGTGGGCATGCTTTATCTTGTATGAAAAGTGCGTAGAGAAGAAAGTGGCGGTTGTCTCCAAAGTGAAATCAAAACAGACTTCAAAATGGAAACCTTTACCATTGACAACAGTCGAGTTACAGAAAGTGGGTTGTCGAGCGCTTCATATGTCGGGTGCAAGAATTATGCAAGTAGCAGAAGAACTGTACACGGCCGGTTTGATTAGTTATCCTAGAACAGAAACAGATCAATTTGATGCTAATTTTGACTTTATGTCCTTGATCAACCAGCAAACAAGAGACCCACGATGGGGAAGATATGCTGCCATGTAAGCAAAAGCAAAAGTGATATCGAAGAAAGCCCAATTGACATTTTTATAGTTTAAGGGATGGTGAATTTGAAAAACCTCGAAATGGTAAGAACAATGACAAGGCGCATCCACCTATTCATCCTACTGCATATGATGGAACCTTATCTGGAGAAAAACTCAAGGTGTATGAATTCATCGCTCGTAGATTCTTGGGCTCTTGTTGGAAGAACGCAATAGGATTCGAAACGTCGGTAGAAGTAAAGATGGATGATGAATACTTTGATGCAAAAGGTCTGGTTATTCTTGAAAGGAACTATTTAGAAGTCTATATCTATGACAAATGGACTGGCAACGTGATACCCGAGTTCCAAGAAGGCCATGAGTTTATTCCTGATGCTCTCGAAATGAAATCAGGAATGACCTCACCTCCAAAACTGCTTACAGAAACAGATCTGATTGGGTTGATGGAGAAGAACGAAATTGGGACAGATGCTACCATAGCTGAACACATTCAGAAAATTCTCGATAGAGAATATGTATATAAAGATGGCCAATACTTTAAGCCTCTGACTCTTGGAATTGCATTAGTACTGGGATATAATGAAATCGGATTAGAGACAAGTTTAAACAAGCCATATCTCAGAAGAGAGGTATGAACGATAACGTATAAGGATCAATATATCTCATATGTGTGTACAATATAGATGGAAGCAGACCTAAAGTCAATATGTGAAGGCAGGAAATCTCCTAATGAAGTATCAGATCGCTCGCTTTATCAATATAGGCAAATGTTTCTTCAAGTATCAGCCGAGTTTGATAAAATAAAGAATGCGGTAGCAGCACATTATCGAGGCTCAGAGGACGAAAGGTACACGGCCGGCCGAGTGCCGAGTGGAGGGCTATTCAATGATGCCCGCAGCAATGGCCATTCTGGAGCAACCACAGACAACACTGGCTCGAGAGGGCGCGGTAGAGGCGGCAGAGGTAGTAGAGGTGGGAGAGGCAGCCGAGGAGGAAGAGGTAGAGGGGATGGTTCTACAAGAAACAGTCGATCCAAACCAACCCAAGATAACCCTTCGATACCACCTAGTCAATACCCAAAGTGTAATCATAACAAGCCTTCAGTGTTACGAACAGTAATCAAGGCTGGTCCAAATAATGGTCGAACATTCTATACTTGTGGAGATAACGATTCATGTAAATTCTTTCAATGGACTGATGAAAATAGCAATAACGTATCCTCTACTGTAAACCATGCCTCACGCAATAACACGAATCGTAATAGCAACATCAGTTCTACTCTTAATTGTCGGTGCGGGAACGCTGCAGCTGAACTAACTGTTACAAAAGAATCACCCAACAAGGGACGTAAATTCTTTGCTTGTGCTGCTGGTCGAGACAGTGGCTGCGACTTTTTCGAATGGGCCGAATAAATTTAGAATACAACAGAGGCTGCATACTTTATTTATATATTCTTTTTATTGTACAAAAATTACTTTACTTTAACTAATTGCTGTAATAAATCCTGTTTTTTCTTTTGCCATTCTTCCTCTGATGCCTTTATTCTTTCAACCACTTGCATAATGTGTTCATTGCAGCATTGTCCTTCAAGAATATATCGCTTTACAAAGTTATACTTCCAGATCACGCGAGGATCGATATTGAATGATTTGAGGGCGGTTTGGATCTGTTGGCGTACGAACGGAACATCATTTGTGCTCATTTTAGATAATAAACTTTCTAACGCCTCTGTTGTATTAGCCATGATATACGTAAGCACAGGCTCAGAGTACTTGTTAAACCGGATGACGCCACGCTTTCGAGAAGCATCGCGTAAGGCCAGATATCGATCAATGTACATTTCTTGAGGGACTATTTGGGTATCAATTCCGGATAATAGCCAGGACAGATTTACACGGATACTATGGACTTTCAATACTACTGCTGGATCTGCAGTAACATTGTTGTTTGAATAAGAAAAACAAACAATCACACCTGGATCACCAATATATCGTATCTGACTATTTAAACATGCTAAAGGAGGAGGTAGTTCGTACAGTTGTTCTCTGGATGGATTATATGCCAAATGGAAAAGTGCCTGCGCACGAAGTCCAATGTCCAATGCTCGAAGTTGATTTGATGCACTGTCAAATACTTTCCATTGGCTAAAATGCAGCTGAATGTAGCTTACTTGCTGTATTTCGATAGAACTGTTATCTTTTGGCCTGAATTCGATCACTTTGTTCTCTTCATCAAAGCAGTAAGGGATCAAAGAAGCAAGCGTTTGCTGTTTATGCACTATGTGTAATTGCGTTTGCTGACATTTGAAGGTTTTATACAAGTAATAATCAATACGCTGCATCCAGGCATAACAGACGGAGCGAAGATGATAGCATTCTGTAAAGGATAGGTTTGACAATATCTTTTCGAATATTTCTGGTGCAAACATGAATAAAGATGGGGAAAGGAAACGAGTTGAATCAAAAAATGTACTCCGCTTTTTATTGTCCCTGACTGGGACTATCAAAGTTCTGGCCAATTCTGATTG